AGTCATAAGCGACTTGACAGCACATAACAACAACAACAACAAATCACAGGGCAGGAGATTGCCTGTCTTCCTCCAGAGGAGCATCTGATGGATTTGAATTACATGCCTTTGAGTTAACAGCGCAACTCCTTACTGTTAGGCCACCAGAGCTTCCCTCTTAATTATAGCAGTGTAATAACAGCAGTTAGTAACGATAGCAGTAATTAGGCTAGTTTTTATCCAAACCACTAGGAAAGACATTATTATCATTAGGTGCCATTGAGTCATCACCAACACACAACAATCAGAACAACACGTGCACCAGAAGGAAAACCCTCTCTGATCCTGCACGCCCATCAGTCTCCTCTGGGCTGGAGCCCGCTGTTGCAGGCATTGTGTCAGTTTGTCTCGTTGAAAATCTTCCTCTTTCCCTGACCCTTCACTTTTCTATGCATGATGTCCTCCAGGGACTTGGGCCCTCCTGGTAACATGCCCAGGGTACGGGAGACGAAGCCTCCTCTTCCTTGTGTCTGAGGAACCCTCTCGCTGCACTTGTGGGACATCCTTGTTTGTTCTCTTGGCAGTCCTTAGGATACTCCATACATAATGCTTCTCTGACAGAATTCAAAGGCATCATTTCTCCAGACTTCCTTGTTCAGTGTCCAACTGTCACATGCACATGAAGCAATTGAAAATCCTATGGCTTGGGTCAGACACACTGAGAAATTGTAGCTTAGCCAAAAAAAAAACCATGTAAAAGAGCCTTCCTGTGCCAGAGAGAGATTTTCTGTTCTCTTCTGACTCGGCTCTCGGGCCTGGAGCCTACCGACCTGACTCTTCCTGGGTGCCTCCTGGTTCTGATTCTCTGTGTCCCTGCTGTGTCTCAACGATATTCCCCACCTCCTCATGCTGCACCTCACTTTGGAGCTGTGTCTGAGTCTCGGGTGACATACAAGTCACTGCCAGGTCCGCCCTGACTCACAGTAGCCCCATGTGTCACCGTAGAACCATGCTCCACAGGGCTTTCAATGACTTGCTTTTCAGAAATAGATTTCCAGGCATTTCTTCTGAGTCACATCTTTGTTGTTGTTATGTACTGTTGAGTCACCTGCAACTCATAACTACCCTATATTATAAAGCCCTAAACCCTGCTCTATCCTGTGCCAGTCTTACTGTCTCTGACACACTTATTCTTGTTACCCCAGTCACTGAGTCAGTCCGTCTCATCCAGGGTCTTCCTCTCCTGCATAGTCCCTCCATCCTCCCAAGCATGACCTCCAAGGACTGGTCTCTCCTTACAACATGCCCAGAGTACGTCAGACGAAGCCTCAGAATCCTTGCCTCCAAGGAGCAGCCTGGTCTCACCATCTCCAGGACAAGCCTGTTGAGGCACATCTAGGGGGGCTGAACTCTCCAACCTTTAGTCCTGCATTTGACTGTCATCAACATCTGCACCACGCAGCAGTCCCTGGTTCAAACCTGATGCCATGCCAGCAGGCCACACTGGAGCTTCAGAGGAGGTTGGCAGACCTCCCTGTGCCTCCATTTCCTCACCTGAAAACAAGAACAGGCAGTTACTGCTGGGTGCTGGTGAGTTGGTTCTGACCCGTAGCAACCCTCCTTGCAAGAGAACCAACCCCCGCCCACTCCTGGGTCAGCCAGGCGATCTCTGCTGTGCACAGGCCCGTCGTTGCACCTCCTCCGTGAGTCTGTCTCGATGTGTGTCTTCCTCTTCTTCATTGACTCGCTACCGCGCATGATGGTTTTTCTTCAGAAGCTGGCTGTTCTGGTACCATGCTCAGCATGTATGCAGTTAAGTCTCTCCATCCTTCTCAGGGACACCACAGCTGTGCTTCTGTGACAGACTTCGTTGTTTTTGTAGCGTCCAGGCTGTATTCCACATTCCTCACCAACACAGCAATTCAGAGGCATCACTCCCTCGCCCGTCTAGGCCATCATTCTTTTGGAAGCAGATTGCCAAGTCTTTCTCCCAAGAACCTCCTGGGTGGGTTCGAACCTCTAAGATTTTGGTTAACAGCCCACTGCTTACCTTTTGTGCCACTAGGGCTCCTTCTTCTGGCTCTTCTTTATTCATTGTCCAACTGTCACATTCATTTGAAGCAACTGAAAGTACAGGGGACTTGGGCCAGGCACACTTTAGTCCTCAAGGTGACATGTTTCCTTTTTTTAACATTTGACAAAAAGACCTGGTTTTCGGTGGCCAGTTTTCCAGAAGTAGAGCACCAGGCCTTTGTTCTGTGTGAGTCTTCATTTCAAAGCACTACCCAGACCTAGCCACCAGGGGTGACCCTGCTGGTGTTCTGAAAGTACTGCTTGCATGGTTTTACCAGCTGCTGTGAGTCCTTTCCGGCTCAGGACAGCCTCAGATATGGCGGCGTGGACTGTGTTTTGTGGTGTTTTCGTGGCTGTTTTTACAGAAACAGGTCACCAGACCTTTCCTCTGAGACACACCTCTCGGGGCACTTGAACCTCCAACCTTCACCACTTAACCACTCAGCTTAACTGCTTACAAAACTCAGGGACTCCCAGAGCCTTTATGATTTTGTTTTTTCCTCTCAAGGGTACAGCTTATACTTTAAAAAAATTATACTTCACATTATGAAAGAGGGATGCGCGGATGCCTCCCACAGGAGCATTTGCCAGGGCTGGGGTGTTTCTGGCCTCTGGGGTGGTGGCTTTGGCACCTGCCCTTCCTCCCAGCCTCTTCCCCAAGGCCCCTTCCTCTGGCCTGACCCCTGCTCCCTTCTTCCAGGGGCAGCTTGTGCACTGTGGCCCAGTCGGGAAGGGCAGTAGCACCTCTCGTTGCACATACTGGGCCAGCGTTTCCTAGTTGGCTCAGACGTGTAATCACACAAACCGGATATTTTTAGACGGGCTGTTGAGACATGCTGTGTGCCAAGACCACATACCAGACGCGTAAGGTCACCCCTCCTGGGAGCAGTCCCCAAATGCACATCCAGAGCTGGGACGCTCCCCTCCAGCCAAACTCTGTCCCCACGTCCTCGTCCTGACTGCTTGTCTGGAAATCTCTGTATGCTCTTCAGGGGGGTCTCGAGGTGTCACTCACGATCAGCTACTAGCCAAGAAAGGTGGCAGGTTTGAACCCACCCAGATGTGTCCTCACATCCCTGGGGCTGCTGGGACCAAAACCCCCCAGTGGGCAGCTTTAAGGAGCAGAAGTGATTTCTTCCTGGTTCTGGAGGCTGGAAGCCCCAACAGCTTCCGGAAGGTCCCAGATCTTGAGAGCACTGTGTTCTCTGCAGTCAGACTCAGCTAGACAACAGCCGTTTTTAGGTGATTGTATCGGGAGTTTTTTTTGGGGGGGGGGTGTTGTTTAATGTGGTCCTGGATCCCTCTCTCCAGGGGGAACTCTGATGGCATAGACCGTAGCAAGTTGTACTGCTAACCCCAAAGGCTCGTAGAGGTTCGAATCCACCAGCTGCTCCTTGAGAAAAGATGAACTCTCGCCTCCCATGGTGATTTGCAGCCTCTGAAACCCGATGGTCACCGAGTCAGAATCAGCTCGATGGCAGCATATGATAGTGGCCAGAGGCCGTCTCACCTGTGGTGGCTCACCTGGGAATGCCACACCTGAGGGCCTAGCACCACTCCCCTGGAAAGCCTACCCCAGCCCTCCTGAGCTGCTCCATGCACCCCAGCTCCCCTGCCTGTGGCTTCCTGAGCCCCCTCACAAGATTGCCCTCTAGGGTGGTGGGTCCTGGCCGGGACAGAACCTTTGGGGAGTCTGGGGGTGGGAATGTCCTCTGTTGTAATCTGTGTGCAGGTGAGTCCAAAACCTGGCTAGGGTGAAAACGCTCACTGCTTGGCTGTCTTCCAGAGGGCTCCTGGAGGGTGGGCTGTCCTCACCTCCCCACCCTCAGCCCAAGCAGACCCACAGAGTCTCAGCTGATAGCAGAGCAGGGCCAGCCAGCCAGCTGCTGCTATGAGGAGCCCAGCCAGAAACACAGGAGGCTCCGGGGCCAGGCAGTCTCGAGCACAGCAGCTTACTCTGCCTTTGCAGCCAGAGACAATACGTCAGTGAGCGGACGTGGCTGGGAGCCAATAAAACTTTACTCATGGACACTGACAACAGAATAGCATTTTCGTGAGTCATGAAATCTTGTTCTTATTTGGATTTTTTTTTCTTCCTAAATGTTTAAGATTGAGAATTTATGGTTGTAGAAGTCATTCTGGGGTGTTGAAAGCAGGGACTCACCCAGACTTAGACCACCTTGATCACAGCCACTTTAATGACAACAGCCAAGTGTCCATCCGCATGTGATGCCCAAACCCAGTGTCACACCACACAGTGAAAGTGCCTCTGCCAGAGAGAAGTGAAGCGCTGATGTTGCTCATGGACGAACTTTAAGTGTTGTAGTGAGTGACAAATGCCAGCTATGAAAGGACAGGTGTTCTCTGGTTCCACTTAGGTGAAATGTCCAGGAGCAAAAGGCAGAGACGAGAGGTGGATTTGTAGTTAGCAGGGCCTGGGGGAGGGGATGGAGCCTGACTGCTAAGGGGCATGGATTTCCTTTTGGGGTGATGAGAATGTTCAAGAATAAGATAGAAGCCTTGGTTGCACAGCTTGATGCATGGACTAAATGCCACTGGTTGAAACTGATTATTTTGGCCATCAGCTGGGTACTGCACTGCTAGCCCACAGTCTGAGCGTCTGGGGGTTCAAGGCCACCAGCTTCTTCTCCTCTGAAACCCTCTGGAGGGCCAGCTTGAGTCACTTTCAGTGTGACAGCAGTGAGTCTGAGCGTGATAGTGGTTTTTTCCTTCTTTTTTTAACCACAGTAAAAATGTCAGACACATGCCATCCCGGCCCATAGTCCATAGTGGTGTGCCCAGCCCCTATGGTGAGGAGTGCAGGGTGCTGCCTCCAGTGCCTGCTGCACCCGATATTTCTGGCCTGCTGTGCCCCCAGTGATGGCAGTGTCAGCGATGCACAAGGTCTGGTTCTTGGAGTGAGCCCTCAGCATTCATTTCTGTTTCAGGCTTTTGGCAACGCCAAGACAGCTCACAACAACAACTCCAGCCGCTTCGGGAAGTTCATCCAAGTCAACTACCTGGAGAGCGGAATTGTGCGGGGGTGAGTCGGTCTGGGGTCTCAGCATGGGAGTGCAGCCCTCACAGGTGTCAGTCAGGGTCTCTGTCCCCACGGGCAGAAAGGGGTGAGTGTAGCCATTGTGAGAGCTAGCATCAGTTCAGGATCTTGGGGGTCTCTGTGGTGGGAGGCGGGGTAAGTACTTCCACCGTGGGAGCCTGGCCTCAGTAGAACTCTCGGGTCTCGGGGGTCCTCACAGATGGGAGCAGGCAAGTGGTGGCCTCCTCATCAGTCTGAACCCTTGAGGGTCCCTGTGAAGGGGAGGTGACTCTTTATAGGGACTGAGTGCTGAAACTGGTCATGTAAACCTTTATAGTCTTACAGGGAGCTCTTGTGGCTTCATGGTTAGGAATTGTGCCACCAGCGTTAGGGAAAACATGCAGTTTGGGTGCACTAGCTGCTCCTCAGGAGAGAGATGGACAGTTTCCTCCTGTGCAGTTTGCAGCCTCTGAAAACCTGCTGGGGGGTCAGCTGTGCATTGGCTCCCACTCAACCGTCCATAAAAGCAGTGAACTAAGGGTGATACTAGGTGTGATGTGACGACAGGAGGTCAGTGTGATACACGGATGAAGTGATAGGAAACCTAGGGGCTGCTGTGTGGAGGAGAGGGTAGGGAAGATTGATGAGTAGTTTGGTAAATGTCCAAGTGGATGGATTTATGAGTGGGTGGATGGATGGATGGATGAGTGGAAACATTGTGAGTGAATGAACAAGTGGTTGGATGAATGCAGGTTTTGATTTATGGATGGAAGGTTAATGAATGAGTAGATGGACAGATGGATGGGTGTTGGGATTTATGAGTGAACAGGTAAGTGGACAGCCCAGGTGCTTTCCCCAGTAGCTCATGGCACATTCAAGGAGTGGGATCTGACAAAGTTGGAGATGGGGTGGCGAGCTTGCAGGAGTTCTTCACTGACCAGCCATGGGTCTGAGAGGACTGAGTTCTTCAGAAAGACTTGACATGGCCACTGATGCCACAGCCTTGACAAGCATTCCGGGATGGAGCTAAGGAGTCAGGCTTTAGCTTGCTGCTTTAGGGTACCCTCAGATCACAGGAGCAGAGACAAAATGGGAGCCCTTGATGTGTCAGTGTATTTAACCAAGGAGCTTCCAGGCATTCCACAGGAGGGTGGCAGCTGGAGAGGAAGAATCCACCAGCCGCTCCCTGAGAGAAAGATGGGCACTCTCCTCCCATACAGTTTACTGCCTCTGAAGAACCACTGGAGAAACAATCCAGCTCAATGGCACGTAACAATAGCTGCATTGGGAAAGTCGGCTGTCAGGGATGTCTCCAAAGTGCTGAAAAGCAACCATAGCGGTTTAAAGACTGAAGTGCACCTGATCCAAACCAAGGTCTTTTCAGTTACTTTCTTTGTATCTGAAAGTTGCACAGTGGATAAAAGTATCAGAAGAAGAATCTATGCCTTTGAGTTGTGGTGTTGGGAGAAGAATGCTGAATACTCCATGGACTGCCTGAAGGACAAACAAATAGTCTTGGAAAAAGTGCAACCAGAATGCTCCTTGGAGGCAAGGATGGTGAAACATCTCACATACTTTGGGCATGCTGTCAGGAAGGCCAGTCCTTGGAGAATGACATCGTGCTTGAAAAGGTGGAAGGGTCACAAAGGAGAGGAAGACCCTTAATGACATGAATTGGCACAGTGACTGTGAAAGGGGGCTCGAGTGTGTTAGAGACGAGGAGGATGATAGAGGAGAGGGCAGGGTTCAGAGCCACTGTTCATAGGGTCGCTATGGAGTGGCAGTGGACTCGACAGCACTTAACAACAACAAGGGCCATGGTCTTAGGGTTTCCCCCAGTCTCTGGCAGATAGTGAGTCTTCTATATCATTTTAAATTTATTTCTGTTTTCCACCTACTCTGCCCAGACCTTCCATGGGGTCCCAACCATATGGCCCCACGTGCGAAAACCACGGCTCTCTCTGCTTCTCCTGGTCTCAAGATAAAGGAATCTGAGCTTCGTGTGGCCCATTAGCCCTTTGTACTAATTAGTTCCTTGATGATATTTTCCCTTCCTCATGACTCTAGACCAGGAGAGAATAGAGTAGTTGCATCTGAGGCGACCAGCCATGGGACTTGTGAGGTTTCGGTGGGCAGCAGGGTGAGGAGCCCTGACCTGCAGTTGAGGAGGCCCAAGGACTGGTGTCAGGAAACAACAAGCAGTAACGAGGGGCCATCGAGAACAAAGAACAGAAACTGGGAGCTGACCTGTAGCTTCTCACCAGCAGGGTGGGCAGGTTTCGGCCAAGCTCCCAGACTAAGACAGACTAGGAAGAAAGGCCTGGCGATCTACTTCTGAAAAGCATGAAAACTGTGGGCCACCATAGACCGTATTCTAATTCGCTTGCTTTGGGCTGGCTGGGAGATCAGTTGCCAGAGGAAAACACAAAGCCATGTGTCAAAGTAGAACTGGGCCCCATAGAGGTTTCAGTGATGGCATTTTCAGAAGTTGATCACCAGGTCTTTCTTTCAAGGCACCTCTGAGGGGACTTGAACCTCCACATGTTCAGATAGCCTCCAAAGCAAGCACATTCTCCATGTGCACCACCCTCCTTCCCAGCGCCCTCCTTTTCCTCCTAGCCCCCGTCTCAGGCGTCCTTGGGGGCTTTAACAAGTACTGGCACGCCAGGTAGTCTAGAGGGAGCCCTGGTGGCGTAGTCCACAGGCATTTGTGCCACTGATCCAAAGCCCATGCAGCTCTAGAGTTGGAATCCACCAGCGACTCCCTGAGAGAGAGAGAGGCAGCCTTCTCCAGGCAGTTTACAACCTCCAGAAACCAGCTGGAGGGTCAGCTATGAGTCAGTTCTGACTTGAAGGCAGGGAGTGAATGAGATCATCTAGCGTGACCTCATCTCAAGGCTTTTGACTTCACCACATCTACAGAGACCCCATTGCCAAATAAGGCCCCATGCACAAGTCTGGAAGCGCGGACGTACTTTCATGTAGGGTCACCGTTCACCCCACAGGGAATCCGTGGGTACGCAAGTAGAGCAGGGCTCAGTCCCCAAGGGGAGGGCCGGTGAATGTCTATGCTGAGAGATGCGTTGGGACCAGAGTTTACCAGTGGTTGCAGGGCAGAAAGCGGCAAAATGGGAGTTGTTGGTTAAAGAGCACTGAGTTTCTGCTCATTGTTGCTGTTTGCTGCTGTCATATCAGCCCCTGACTCAGGGCAACCCCATGTACAGCAGAAATGTTTCCCAGTTCAACAGCCATCTCCACGGGCAGCTGCAGGTTAAGCCATTGTAATCCATGAAGAGGTTTTTGGCTGGCTGATTTTTTATTTTTTATTTTTTTAAATTAATCTGCAGACCTTTCTTCCCAGTCTGTCTTAATCCTGAAGCACTGCTGACCTTAGCAGTGTACAGATCTTCCAAGAGAGACAAGTAGTAGTGGCTGTGCTTGAGGGTCTTGGTCAGGAATTGAACCAGGGTCTGCTGCACAGCAGAATTTTCCCACTAACGAAATCTCCACTGCCCTCCATGCCTTCGTAAAACTGTTTTAAAAAGAGGCAAGCTCTGGTGGCCTAATGGCTAGAAGCTGCCCTGCAGCCTTAGAGGTGCGTGGTTCGAATCCACGAGATGCTCTGCTGGAGAAGGAGAGACAGTCTCCTCCTGTACCAGTCAGATCCAATTTCACACACACACACACACACACACACACACACACACAGACAAATAAAATATAAAAAAAAAAGTAGGCAAAAGAGATCAGGTATGTTAAACTTAGCAGGAGGGAAAATTTCATTCCTGGGAGGGTGTTAGTGGAGTAGAGATAAACTTCAGGTGTCAACTGTGAACAAATTGTTAACACCATGCCCCGTCCCACCATGCTGGCAGAGTGGCCCTCTGTGCTCACCAACCTGGACCTGGGACCCCATGTCCGTCAGTCACGTCCAGTTCACAGAGGGCCCGGGTCTGGGCAGCACCAGTGTCTGGCCAAGTTCTTTGTATAGCAGTTCAAGCTCATAGCAATGGGTAGGATAGTATTTGGGATGATTTTTTTCCCTTTTAATGTGTGTATATGTATAATGTGGAGTTCAAGTAGTGTTGGTTGTTATGTATTGTGCTACTAGCCAAAAAGTCAGCAGTTCAAATCCACCAGCCACAGGTTACGCACATAAATATTTATAGCCTCAGAAGCCCAACAGAGAGTCCCTCTGAGGCAGCATTGGTTTGATTATTTACATTGGAAGAAGCCCTGGTGGCACAATCATTTAAGTGCTTCATGGGTAATGAGTTGGCAGTTAAAACCCGCTCACTACTTTGCCAGGAAAAATACCTGATGGTTTGTTCACCTAAATAAACCTGCTGGACTGTTGTCACCTGAAGCCGCCAGGAGTCACACAGTCTACTTGTGGGCACAAAATAGTGTGGTTTCCGTCGTGGAGTCCCTGAGTGCGGCAAATGGTGAACATGCTCCCCTGCTAACCTGAAGGATGCAGGTTTGAGTCCACCCAGAGACACTTCAGAAGAAGTGATGATGGCCTGGTGATCTACTTGTAAACAGCTAGCCATTGAAAACCCTAGAGTCCACAGACATTTGCCCCTGGACGCAATGGCTCTCAGAAGCTTAGTGGAGTCAGGCTGGGTTAGTGGTTGGAGGGGAAACACACAGAAACACAAGCAAACATACACAGAGTCATGTGTCAGCTTAGCAACTAAGTTGCAGTTGGTTTGGTTTGGTTTGGTTTTAGTTATTTTCACTCTGTCAAAGGAAGTTAATGTATAGCTAACTGGACCACAGGTGCCTTGTTTTGCCAAAACTCCTGTCCCAGAAACACCACAAGTGGGTGGCTTTAAGGAACAGACATTTCTCTCCTCACAGCTCAGGAGGCTGCAAGTCCAAACTCAGAACGCCGGCTCTCCGGGGCTCAGGGCTTGTCTCAGCTTCCCTCACTGGCCGGCCTCAGCATCCCTGGGCTGATGACTGCTCTGAACCACCTTCTCCAGATAGCATCAGTCAGCACCTCGTGAAGACTTTCTTGTGTGTCTGATCTGATCTTTCATATCTCAGAAGGCATTTGGCTAAGGCAGTGATAAACCTTAATGAACACAACAGAGAAAACTCTTGTCCCCAGATGGTATCCCCCAGGTGTAAGGGTCAGAATTACAGCACAGATCTGGGAGGGGACACCAAGTAGTAAAAGACATTGTAGTCTTCTAAGAAAAAGATACTAAAATTCACATTTTGATGCTTTCCCCTTTCACAGAGCTATTGTCGAAAAATACCTGCTTGAGAAGTCTCGCCTGGTCTCTCAGGAGAAGGATGAGAGGTAGGAAGGTGCCTTTCCCTCACCAGTCTTTGAGCATCCCTCCCCCCATGCCTAGGGCGCTCTGATGCTTTAGATGTAAGGATTTGCGCTGCTAGTCCAGGGGTATGTGGTTCCAGTAGCTCTGAGGGAGTAAGATGGGCAGTCTCCTCCCGTGTGATTTACTGCCTCTTAAAACCCACTGGAGGGGAGTCCAGAACGAAGGTCACATAGCGGAGTGAACTTGGGTGGAGGCTTTGTATAACAATGAAAGAATTTTTCTTTTACTTTTTTTTCCTTCTTTTACTTTTTAAAGAGTTGAACTGGGAAGGGTGGGCAGAGAGAATGTGCAACAATGAATGAATGGAAGTCCAAAGTCTGTAAATAAAATTAATAATAATAAAAAAAGATTTTAAAATACCCACTGGAGGATCTACTATTGGTTGGTTCCAACTTGGCGGTACACCACACAAACCTCGCTTATCAGCGCAGAGGAGAGGAGATGCTTGGGCACTGTTAGGCATCTTACTATTAGGCAGAATGCACAATGACAGTTGCTTTGGTTAACAGTTTGAAGATTAGAGAGTCCTTTTAAAAAACACAAGATCATTTCCATCAACTTGATGGCAGTGACCCTCTGCCAGTTTTCCAAGGCTGTAAATCCTAACGGGAGGCAACTGCCCATCTTTCTCCCAAGGAGCGGCTGGTATATTTGAACCGGATACACACAGGGCCTTTGGGTTAGCAGTGCAACTTGTTTTGGACTAAGACCCCACCAAGAGCTCTCTTATGGAGTCCCCAGGCACCTCAGAAAAAACGTCTGTCACCAGCCATTGGGAAGCCTGGTGGATTGCCAGCATGGAGTCACCATGAGTCAATGTCGACCTGACAGCAGGTCTTAGCACCGCCTTGTAAAGTGTACATTCTGAGATCAGCAGCAGGCCTCAGGAGGACATGGCATTTGGGGACCCTGACTCATTCCTGAGAAGGGGACCCTCTTTTCTGAGATCTTCCCCCAGCCAGGCCAGCTCTCATAGCTGCAAGCATGTGTTCATACGACCTAAGCCACTTTCATCCCTCCTCCGGGTTCTGCCTGGAGTGGGTGTCCAGATGCCTGCCAGAACCTGGTGAGGTCAGCAGACAGACGTGCTCCTGAGCAGATAGATAATCCTGCTGCCCAAGAAGGCTTTAAAAAGAAAACCAACTGGCAAAACCTACAGAACAAACGCACTACTCCAGTTTCCACAAGCCTGGTTCCATGACACCGATTACATCTCTGAGCTGGTCTTTCTATCCTTTTCCAAATTGTTCCACCACCATGAATATGACTCAGGTTCCCTAAGCAACCCCCTTTTCCCTCCGCACGTCTGCTCCCGATAACTGTTGTGAATTTGCGGTCTGTGTATTTGCTTATTCAGAGAAATGAGACCATATGGTATCTGCCCCTTTTGGATTAGCTTCATTCGCTCCGGGAGTCCTAGTGACATACTGTGTAACATGTCAGGTTGCTAACCAAAAGGCTGGTGGTTCGAATCCACCACCCACTCCTAGGGAGAAAGATGGGCAGTCTCCTCCCATTAGGATTTACAGCCTCAGAAACCCAAGGGTCTGAAGGGCTGTCACAGGTCTGAATCAAAAGGCAGGAGGTTTGTTAATAGTTCTTTTTCTTCCCTCAGCATGATGTTTTCAAAGCGTGCATCAGGATTTTCATTTATGCTAAGAAGGCTATTTTTTAAAAGATGTAACAAGAACCAACTTACTGCTTTAAATTCCTGCATATTTAGGGTCCTTTTTCTTCCCTGACTTAGTCCCTGGGTGGTACAAACAGATTGCACTCAAATATTCATCTCAAGGTTAATGGTTTGTGTCCACCCAGAGGTGCCACGGAATAAAGGACTGACAATCCGTTTCTGAAATACCACAGCCCAGAGAAACCAGTGGAGCTCAGCTCCTCTCCAAAACAGAAGGGGTCGCTTTGAGTCAAGATTGACTCAGCAGTAGAAGGCTTGGTTTCTTGGTTTTTTTCCTCCCTGGAACAGTCTCTGGAGCAGTGTTAGAGGTGGTTTGAAGAGCAGCTGTTGCTCAACCCCAGAAACGCCTTTTCTCTCCCACCATGGCCGCAGGAACTACCATGTGTTCTATTACTTGTTGCTTGGGGTCAGCGAGGAAGAACGCCAGGAATTCCAACTCAGGCAGCCGGAAGATTACTTCTACCTCAACCAGGTAAACAGCTCCGAGTCGGGCCACAAACGCCTTCTCTGTTCCCCGCCTGCTGTTTTGGGCCACCAGGTGCCCCGAGGTCATCTGCCCCTGCCATCTTTGGCTCCCAGGCCGACTCCATGGAGCCAGGGGACGTGGCACAAAGGACCCATTGATTCTCTAGCCCCACCCCTAGGCGCCAGCTGGAATCCTCCCTCAGAAGCACCCAGGGTCCTGATGTGCACAGAGTTTGCCAGGCTGCAGAGGCAACTTGCCACAGAACTGTCTTCACCCTGCATGCCAGTCATGGGTTCAGGGCCACCCTCACTTCCTACCAACTGGCTATCGTCTCAGAGGCCCTGAGGCTGATCTTTCGCAGGGACAACTTCATGGAGCCCAGGGAAGCACTGTCCATAATACTGGCTGTTTTATTTCCGCAAGAGTACACCAGCTGATAGGGGAGGCTCATGGGACAGGGTCTGGGACCATCCCTGCTCTGAGTGACAGCCACTAGGTCCCACTGACACCTACGCAGAGAGCCAATGACCAGCAGACCCCCACACCCACCCCAGCTCAGAGTCAAGGGTTCTGATTGAATCAACAATGAACTCAGCATGATCGGCTGCCCTCTCCTGGCTGGCCTTTAATCTCCACTCCCTGCAGAGCCCAGGACCAACACTTAGGGGCCCATGGCGCCCAGTCAACAACTCATATTATTGGGCTCTTACCTCAGTTTTCTAGTGCTGCTGTGTCAATAGAAATACCAGGAACATAAATTCTTTTCTCAAACATAAATTCTTTTCTGGTTATTCAGGAGACTGAATTGAGGGCGTGGTCCTGAGGAGCCTTGCCTTGTTGGTCTCAGCTCCTAGTAGCTGCCTGCAATCTTTGGCACTTCTGGATTAGAAACACCTGTCGCTTTGCTCATCAGCTGAAGTCTGGCCACCCCTGTGTCTAATCCACTCTTAGACCAGAGTTAGGACCACCCTACGCTGATACGACCTCATTAACACAACAGAGATAATTACTCCAGAAAAAGTAAAGGAGCTAACATAATATTGTGGAGAAACAGTTCAGGCTATAACAGTTGTTTTATTAGAGGCCAAATCCCCAAGCTAGAGATGCTCTAATCAGACAGAATTTTCCAGGAGCCGAGGGCCACTGCTCAACCTTGACTTGGAGCCCTGGGGGTGCTGTGGGTAAACACATTCAGCTGCTAGCTGACTGGTTAGCAGTTCGGGCCCACCAGCCGCTCCAAGGAATAAAGATGTAGCAATCTGCTTTTGTAAGATTTACAGCCGTGAAAACGCAGCGGAACAGTTAGAGGGTCGCTGTGAGAATTGACTCGAGGCCGTGGGATTTTAGCTCTTCACTGCTGCCTTCATTTCCTGAGGCCGCCGTAACTGAAATACCATGCGTGGGTGGCTCTGAAGAAGAGGAATTTGTTGCCTTAGAATTTTGAGGTCAGGAAGTCTTGAGTTTGGGGTGTCAGCAGCACTGTGCTTTTTCTCTGCTTGCTCGTCTCCTCCCCCCAACTGCCCCAGGCGTTCCTGGGCATTCCTCCGCCGTGGACAGACCTCACGCGGTGGGCGCCTTCTCCAAGTGGGTCTCTCTCTTCCTATTTCCCTTTGTTTTTGTTTCCTATTTTCCCTGAGTATCCTACAGCTTCTATAACGCAGACCCCACAGATGGGTGACGTTTCTAAAGAACAGAAGTTCATTTTCTCCTAGTTCTGGAGGCTAGACATCCATATGGGGGTCTCAGCTGTGTGGATGTTTTCCCAGGCGATCCTAGGTTCTCGGTGTCTGCCCGCCTGCATCGGTGTGTTTCCATGCTGCTCTCATAACTCAGAAGGGGCTGGTTTTAGGGTCCGCTGGCCTACTGGTAAGGAGCTGTGCTGCCAACCCAAAGGCACACAGTTTAGATCCACTAGTTGTTCCACTGGAAAAAGATGGACCGTCTCCTTCCCTATGACTTACTGCCTCTGAAAACCCGCTGAAGAGTCAGCTATGAGTCAGTTCCAAGTCAGTGGTACACAACAGCAACCACAACTACTGTGGTACAGTGTCATTACCCTGAACAATAACAGCTACTCAGAAAAACCCCGACTCCCCTGATAAGGCTCCCTCCACAGTACAAGGCTGAGGCTTCACCCTCCTTTGTGAGGGCCCCCCTCTAGTCCCAGTCATTCAACACCCTGTGTTCCAGCATAACTTGAAGATTGAGGACGCAGAGGACCTGAAGCATGACTTCGAGCGCCTCAAGCAGGCCATGGAGATGGTGGGCTTCCTGCCGGCCACCAAGAAACAGTGAGTGTCCACACTGGGTTCACCCCGCATCCCCACAACATCTGCGAGGAAGGTGCGGGTGGGCACCACCTTTGGGGACCCCACAGTGGCTGCTTCCACTCCAGTTAGGTGCAGCAAACCAAACCACGTACTTTTACAAGTGGCTGGCTAAGGACTGTAAAGTTGGATGGTCCGCTCCACCCAGTGGTACTGAGGAAGAAAGGCCTGGTGATCCGATCCCATAAAGAGCACAGCTAAGAAAACACTGGGGTGCTCAGTTCTACTCTGTAACCCATGGGGTCGCTGTGAGTCCAGATGAGCTCAACAGCACCGGCTTCTGTTGCTGTGTGCACTGACACTGAGGGCACTCCAGCACCCCAGCACTACCTTAGTGACAGGCCCAACACAGGTACATATGGCCTCACCGATGTCACCTTCACACCATTGGCAGTGTGGGCAGGGACTGAAGGGTCCTGAGGGCCACATGTCCACTTCCTGGGCCCAGATGCTACATACGGGCATCTGAAAAACAAAACATAGAAACGCCCAGACTTACTGGTCCAGTGGAGACTGGTGGACTCCCTCCCAACTCTAACCCTCAGTCAGTCTTCAAACCTGCACCTCAAACTCAGTCTTGTGAGTTTGCTTTCAGTCAAACAATAGACAGGCCTATGAGTTGACAGCACTCACACCAGGAGGCACTCTCTCCAACCCTGTAAGGTCAGAGAGCAGCATTGCCCAAGGAAAAAAGCCCAGGAGAGAGCAAGGGGCAGGCGGGGACAAGGGGGGCATTTGATTGCATTGTGAGTATTGTCATTAATGTTATTAAACAAAATGGGTGTGAATGGTTGCTTGAACAACCAGTTTGCTTTGTAAACTTACACTCAAAGCACATTTTTTTAAAACCCCTACGTGCCCAGCTCCATTCAGATACCCTTGAGGTCACCGTGACTAGGAGGAGTCGGTTCAACAGCGGCTGGTGAGAGGGAAGCAAATTAATGTCAGTGTGACATGAAAAACGTAATGGATCGGTACCCTTTGTGTTCACACCTCAGAACTGAATGCTAGATAAAACAATCCCTCTGTTAAAAAAATACATTTTTATTTCATTTTCCTACAGTTAAAAAAATTATTCTTCATAATGCTCATGGACTTGAGAAAAAGTCTAAAATTGGTGTCCCCAATTGGCTGGTACAAAATTAAAAGCTCCAGTGCTGGCCGACAAAACTGACCTGTACAGAAGTGCCTCAGAGGAAAGGCCTGATGATCTGCTAGGAAAGAAAGAGCCTTGAAAACCTGTGGAGATGTTAACTGCGTGCTGGGAGTCACCTGGAGTCAAAATCAGCTAAACAATAATTAAGCAGCAATTTCGGGAGGGGAAATTTAAAATACTCTGGGAGCTGGAACTCGGCAGGACCACCTTGTCCTCTCTGGCTTTTGAAGTTTTCTGCCCTTGGCAGTGAACATGCAGTCTAACCCCATTTCTAGTATTTCTTTTTGTGAAAATTGTCAGAATCTTCCTATTCTGACAGGTTTCTGCCTTAAACAGTTTCTGGCTCTCACAGGTTTTACTATATTTAATAGAAGAACGTGCAGGAGGCTTAAGCATCAGAGATTGTGAGGACGGCACGGGGTAGGACACTGCTGAGACAAATTGTTCACAGGGTCGCTTATGAGTCTACTCGACTCTGCAGCACTTAACAGTAATATAGAAAAAGGGGGAAATTAACCAGGCTTCCAATATTTTACAGTATGAGTGTTTGATACTTTGGTATATATTCTTCCTGAATCTTGTGTTTGTTTTTAATATTTTTAAAGGCCTTCTCTTGCTTTAAAAAAAAAAAAGAAAATTGAGAGGAGCTCACAGAATAAGGAGTTCTCAGTCAAAGGACCCAACCTTTCTCAGATTTTGTTCTGATGGGTACTCACTAGTTTTCCTAATGAAGGGTTGGTTTTGTGGAACTTTCTAGAGCCTCACAATAGCAAGGACGATTCTAATGGGGCCCCTTTTCTTCCCAAGGATTTTCTCTGTCCTCTCAGCCATCCTGTACCTGGGCAACGTCACCTACAAGAAGAGGGCCACAGGCCGTGATGAGGGGCTGGAGGTCGGACCCCCGGAGGTGCTAGACACGCTCTCCCAACTCCTCAAGGTATCACCTGCCATCCTGCCTGAGTCTCCACCCTGAGCCTGGACAATGAGGGCGGCCAGCACCCGGGACTTCCTGCTCACCCACACTTTCATAACCAGGCCTGCATGCCACTTCCTCCCGGCCTCCACCATTTACCTTCCTCATTTCTGGTGACCTCACTGGGTGGAGGGGGAACACGCCATGCTGTAGCTGTAGCTCTCAGGTCTCCAGGGAAAGGCTCCATAAATGATAATGTGATCTGCAAGGTCCTAGGTCCAGGGGCCTCACCGGGGCACTTCTTCCCCCTCAACAGCATCTGTAATTGTCATGGGGCAGGGCGAGCTCTGGTGGGCTGCCAACCCAGAGACCCACAGTTCAGATCCACTAACTCCACTGGAGGAGAAAGATGGTGAAATCTCCCACACGGTTTACATCCTCTGAATGCTTGCTGGGTTCAGAGGCTGTGAGTGGGTTCCTACTTGACAAGCACATGTGGCAGGAGGAGGGGAGGAAACAGTGACATAAAGTGGGTGGAAGCCAGGGAAGTTGCCCAGCACTCTACAGAGCAGGGCACCCCCACCATGGAGAATGATTTAGAGCCATATTATCAGCAGTGCTGAGTGGGAGAAACCTTGCTTTAGCTTGAGAGAACCTGTCTATCTGTCTGTCTGACTGTCTAGCTGTTTCCACACCCGCCTGCTTATCTGCTCACCTATTTATCTGTTCATCTGCCTTCTCACCTAATTCTGTCCACCTGCCTGCCTCCCTCCATGTCTTATTCCTGCCTACCTATGTGTGTGTCTTTCTAGTTTCCTGCTTCTCAGCCAAGAATTATTTCAACCTCCAAAGCCACTCTTCTGTATCTGGGGGTATTTTTTGGTTATAATGACAGGCAGCAGCGGGTAGGGACCAGGGGTTACTACTCAGATCCACTGAGAGAAGGCTCCTTACCAGCCTGAAAGATCTAGTGTGAGTCCCAACACACAGAGAGTGATCTAGAATCAAATGCCACGTTCCCAGATCAGAGGCCGTGGCCAATCGATGGGTGTGGATCAGCTGGAAAATGATTGCAAGCTCCCACTCCTACAGACAGAGAGGGCTTGGTAGTCAGGTCTCTGAAGGACTGTCCTCAGAGTAGGGTCCACGTTCAGCCTCAGCAGTGGCTCTGAATGTGGGTCACAGATGCCATGCGGCCCCATAGCTGCTCATACACCCAAGACGGCTTGACCACAGCCTGGGCTGGCAGCGATGAGCATAGAGCCAGCCCACGAATGAGAATTCCACAACCCACAGGCAGTACCCCTCCTGATAGAGTTTTGGGTCTGTCCCCCTTCTTCTGAGGGGACCGGAAGGAATGCTGGTCGTGGCAGCAAGCTCCTCACACCATTTTTCCTCCCCACTGGACGGTGTAACAGGTGAAGCGCGAGATCCTGGTGGAGGTTCTCACCAAGAGAAAAACAGTGACGGTCAATGACAAGCTCATCCTGCCCTACAGTTTCAGTGAGGTGAGCACGTCCCTGAGGCCCCACCAGGAAAGCTGGGTGGCCAGGCTTTCAAAAAGAGTAGATGCATGAGGTAGGTCTTCAATTCCCTAGGGTGGTAGAGTAGAACCTGGCAGTGCAACTGGTCCCTGTGTGAGCATGAGCACAGCATCAGCCTGCAAGCCAAGTCTGGCACCCTGCTTGTGTGTGTAAATAAAGTTTTATTGACATAAAGCCATTTGTACATTGTCAGTGGCTGCTTTTAGAACTCTTAGATGATGTAAATGTCCATGCACTTGCCACCTATATAGACTCAAAGGTGGAGGTTTGTGGTACGCAAAGGCCTCTTAGGAGAAAGGCCTGGCAATCTCCTTCTCAAAAATCTGCCACCTGTTGGTGCAGTTTTGCTCTGATGCGTGTGGGGTCAGCATGAGTCAGGCTCGACCCCGCAGCGGCTGGTCCTGGTACACCTGCTTTCCTGCTGCAGTAGCCACGTTGAGATGCTCTATCAGAGACTGTCTGGTCTACGAAGCCTCAGAGATGTGACTTTGGAGTGTGGCCTTGAAGACCGTATTGTCGACTCCTGGCTTAGGGCTCTCCGGCCAGACCCCTGAATCTTAATAAAGCGCCTACCTCTGGCCTTGCCCCCAGCCAGGAGGTTTTCTCTGTGGCGTCCCTTTCTCCTCATTGACTATCACGGAGCTCCAGTGGCACAGTTGCTTAGCACGAGCGATAATGTGACGCTCTGCCTCGGGAATCAGCATGGCTGTGCACGGAGCTTTGATCACAGTGCGAAGGACCTCACCAGTTCTGGTCGACAGAGACTCCTCCCCCGAGGGGAACAAACATTCTCATGGGTCCACCATAGATGGTCTGGAGTTCCTGGGTGGTACAGATGGGCATGTGCTGGGTTGCAAGCACGTAGAAAGGTTGGAGGTCTGAGTCTACCCCTGGGAGAAAGGACTTGGCAAATGACTTCTGAAGGCACCAGGGCCACAGTCCTGCTCAGACTCGTGGGTTCCCTGCATGGTGCAAACAGTGAAGGTGTTCAGCTGCTAACCAGACAGATGTGCACCTGTCCTTGTGTGACATTGTCCTTCTGTGTGACATTCCCATTCTTGTGTCCCCAGGCCATCACAGCCCGTGACTCCATGGCCAAGTCTCTATACAGCGCCCTATTTGACTGGATTGTGCTGCGGATCAACCACGCCCTCCTCAACAAGAAGGACATGGAGGAGTCTGTGTCGGTGAGTGCTGGCCCCCTGCTCCCCAGAGTCGGGCATACCTCCTGTGACATCGGATGAGGGGCTGCCCACCTTCACCAGACCCAGAAGGCAGTCTTGGTTTCATGAATTGGGGAAGAGGGTGGGACTAGGCTCAAAATGAGCATGCGAGGCCTCCCAGCTCCCCAGGCTGCCGCCCACTCCTAAAGGAGAACCTCCCAGTCACAGCCCCCTGTCTCCACAGTGCCTGTCCATTGGGGTCCTCGACATCTTCGGGTTTGAAGACTTCGAGAGGAACAGCTTTGAACAGTTCTGCATCAACTACGCCAACGAGCAGCTTCAGTACTACTTCAATCAGCATATTTTCAAACTGGAGCAGGTCAGAAAACATGATTTAGGCCCCCATCCAGGCCCAGGGCAAATGGACTGTTCTAGAACAGGGATTTCCCTCAGGGCCCGTTGAACTTGCCCCAGAATTTCCCTTATACCGATAGCGTCTCTCCCCAAAAAAAGGAAAGTGCGGGGAAAACCTCACCCTGCTCAGGTCAGTCCCCACAGTTAGGTGCTTCAGCTATTAACTGAGAGGTCAGTGGTTCAAATCCTCCTGGAGGACAGGCTTGGCAGTCTGCTTCTGAGAGATCACAGCCTTGCAGGCCCCTGAAGCAGTTCCACTCTGCACACAAGGCAGAGGTCCGTGAACTGGAGTCATCTCAGTGGTAGCTGCTAACAACTTGATTCAGATGTGCAAGTTGTTTTATTGGGACAGACCCAGACCAGGGCCACCTGGGAGGGACCCGCTCAGCCGATGATAATGGTCATCTGTTTCACACCTCCTTTATCTGCCGAGTCAAAGCACCCCTGGTGGCCTGTCTGTAGAGGGTGTGCCGCCACTGAACCTCCACACCTTTCAGATACACCCTCCACAGGCTGGGCAGTCTCCTCCCATTCGCTTTACAGCCTCTGACCCTGCTCAAGGGCCAGCTGCGAGTCACTTCTGACTCAACAGCAGCGAACTTAACTTTGACTTTTGAGCTCTCTGCTGAGTATGCACTATCTTTGCATTGATGATTGTGACCAAAAAAAGAAACTGCTAGATTACGTAAATATTTAGTTGACTTTATGGTTAAGCCTCTGACAGTCAAGCCCTTGAAGTCTGTTCACAGTGAGAATGTGAACACGGACTGGCATTCGTAAAACAGATGCTTGTTGTTTGTCGTCGCCGGTTCAGCTCCGGCTCACGGTGGCCCCACAGACGACAGAATGAAGCATCGCTGGCCCTGGGCCGTCCTTGTATCCTTGGTTTGTTCAAGCCTGTTGTCAGCCTGCTGTGTATGTTCACTGTCTTCTTGCCAAAGGCCTCACCGTCCGACAGTGTTCTCTTGTGAGCGTAGGGCGTGCGGTGGCCGACTTTCAGCCAGAGACCACGTGGTCTGCGAAGCTGAGAATACCAACTCCCTGGCCTTCACAGAGAATGTTTTTGACCCCCTAGTCTCTGGGTGATGCAAATGGTAAACACGCTCCTGTACCAACTGAACGGTTGGAGGTTTTAGTCCACCCAGTGGAAACTTGGAAGAAAGGCCTGGTGATCTATTTCTGAAAAATAAGCCACTGAAAACGCTGAAGAGAGAGAAATGAAAGCTCTGTGGGACACCTGACACACAGGTCCCCTCACGCCAGGGTGAATCCAGGCAGCTGGTGGCCAGGTGACAGGCAGCAGAGAGCGTGCGTTCCCAGGGACTGTGGGTGACCGTCCTCCCATCTGCCCACAGGAGGAGTACCAGAGCGAGGGCATCTCCTGGCACAACATCGACTACACGGACAATGTGGGCTGTATTCACCTCATCAGCCGCAAGCCCACCGGCCTCTTCTACCTGCTGGACGAGGAGAGCAGGTGAGTGCCTGTTGTCGCCTCCTGGAGGGCCACAGCGGGTGGCTTTAACCAGCAGAAATTTATTGGTTCATGGTTCACAATACTGAGGTCGGAATTCCTCACACCGGCTTCCAGCGGATCTCGTCCCCCCGGTCAGCTCTGGGAGCAGATCCTGGTCTGGCTTCCCTAGGCTGCTTCTCCTCGTTCCGTGGTTATCCCCAGGTGCGTCAGCACCCCCCAACCCCATCCCACAGTTTCTCCTTCTCTCTGTGACCATTCTGCTCTTTCTTCATCTCCAAAGTGCTTGGTTTAGGGGCTCCCTGCACTGAATAGATCACCTGAAAATGGCCGACCTCTGTTTCAAAGCATGACTTCCTAGAACCATGAGGCTAGGTGAACCCTCAAAATGATTGTCTGTGGACAGCATTTAACCTCTCAACTGAAAGTTAAACGTGTCCTCTGGGGTCCTCCTTAAAACCAGACAGTAGTTTACCTTGAATAGTGAGGAACATTTGTCCTGAACCCGGTGCCCTTCTCAGAACTCTGTGAGGTCAAATTGACAACAGCAACTCATGAAGGCTACAAAGGAAGGTTAGGGGCCAGTGAGGGGAGGTTAAGGGGTGAGGGGGCAGCTCTGGAAAGGAGAGTATGAGTGGTTGCACACCTCCAAGAATGTAATCTGTGTCACTGAACTTCAAGTGCAGAAATGATGCAATTGGTGGGTCTTTGGGGAGGGGGCTGTTCTCAGAGACAGATAGAATATACTAAAAATAAGAACAAAAGGATGATTGGTCAGGACCCACCCTGCGCTGATCAGGCCTCACTGACATAACAAAACCCTTTTTCCACATTGGATTTTCATAGGGGTTAGGGGCCCAGCACACATTTTGGAGAGTTTCGTTAAATCCCTCACTTCTTCCATGTTCTAAACTCACCCCTGAGCCTCCGTTTCCCCTTTCATGATCTGGGGTCTCCAGCCCCACCTGAATGCCAGCAGTGAGGGACAGAGACCTTGTGGATACCAGCCGCAGGCCTAACGTCAGGGTCATACCAATTAAGGTCTCCATGGTGCTGGGAGATGTCTTGAGTGAGTCAGACATAACACTCACCTCCACGGAGGCAACACCTTCATTCACAGTGAGACTTGCAGTCCTGGGTCCGTCTCGCTGAAGGGCTTCCTCCCTTTCACTGACTCTCTACCTTCCCATGCATGATGTCCTCCAGAGACCAGCCCCTCCTGATGACATTCCTACAGTATATGAGACGAAGGTGTGTTAGGAAGAGCGTAGAAGAGGCCCCCCCACCCCCCGAGCTGGAATGTGCAGCTCAACTGTCCATGTTGCTTCTGATTTTAGAACCTTGCTCCTTTTTTTTATTATGTGTAAAGCTGGGCAAATTCTAGCACAAGAGGCATGTTGAAGTCTCAGCTGATGGCTCTGTAAATTGTACGGCTCGTCTAATAGTGATCATTCCTACAGGCAGGGTTGCCCCGAGGCTTGTAGAACAGCTGTCTGACTGCACGGGCTCCCCAAACATCAGGCAACCCTGGGTGGTGCCCTGAATGCACTCACCCACTAACTGGAAGATCAGAGGCCCACCCAGAAGTGCCTGGGAAGAAAGGCCTGGTGATCTGCTTCCCAAAAAATCATCCACCGAAGAATCTGTGAAGCACGGTCCTTCTCCAGCACACAGCAGGTCACCAGGGGTCAAGGTCTGCTCAGCAGCAGCTGGGATTGGAGTTTTTCAAATTCTCTTGACACTAGAGTTTAGTGACTCCTCTTTCAGTTGCACGTACCAGGCAAGGGTCTCACTCACACCACCCATGAATTACAGAGCCTCCACCTCCATGCCTGGCAAGGGTGCACATGCATCTGGGTCTGTGACAAGCCTGGCAGAGATGCTGCAGCTGCTAGCATTTCCTTCTTAGGAGGCAAAGTGACCAGATACAGCAGCCGCCTTTTCTGCACCAGCTCCAGCCCCCAGCAGAACAGAGCAGCACTTCATCTGGGCCTCGTGCAGAAGGATGGGCGCAGAAGTCGCCTTGTGGCCACCTGTGATCAGCCAGATTTAGGCAATGCCCACAGATTGCGAAGGCCTGGTCAGCAGAGGAAGGGGCTGTCCCTGGACAGTGAGCTGACCATTTTGTCGGCACGGCTCCCCCTTGGCCCTGCAACCCCAGCCTCACCACTCCCCATGGCGTGCAGCCATCACTGTTACCCATTTTCAGATGTTTGTCATCACCACAGAGAGGACTCCGTGCCCCTCAGCCCTCACTCCCCAGCCTCTGACCTCTGGCCACCACTATGTCCTTCCTGTCTTTCTATGCATTTGCCTCCTCTAGTTCTCTCAGGTGAGTGGGCATGTACTGCAATTTCATGCCTCGCTTCTGCCTCGTGGCATCGTATCTGCAGGGTTCGTCCATAACAGTATCGTGTGTCAGAGCTTTGTTTCTCACTTGGCTCAGGAGCGTCCATTATGTGAATGGACCACGCTGTGTGTACACCGCATCTGTCAGCGGTCATCCCTGTTGTTTCTAGCTCCTGGCTGTTGTGAATAGTGCTTCAAGAGCGTGGTGGACAAGTCTCTGTTTGAGTCCCTACTTTGAGTTCTTTTGGAGACGCGTCTGGGGCGAGGATCGCTGGCTCCCGGGGTGTCTGTGTTGGCTTTGCCTGTTTGCCCAGCGGCTGCGGTGTTTTGCATCAGTGCCAGCAGGGGATAAGTGTTCTAGTTCTTAGCCTCTTCACCCTCAGTCTCTTCCTGCGAGGCTGCCGATGGTGTTTCCCCACTGATGCATTTCCATGCTCATTGCCACACCTCTGCCAGGTGTAGCCTGCGCCACAAGAGTTCCCAGGGACGCTTGCCTGCCTGGAGCACTCTGGCACCTGCTCAGAGGTCCTCGGGCGTGGAGTCCAGGGTGCACTACCAGCTGCTTTCCTGCTGCTCAAGGGCCTGCCTTCTTTTCTCAGCTTCCCCCACGCCACAAGCCAGACCCTGCTGGCCAAGTTCAAGCAGCAACACGAGGACAACAAGTACTTCGTGGGCACGCCTGTCATGGAGCCAGCCTTCATCATCCAGCACTTTGCAGGGAGAGTCAAATACCAGATAAAGGTGTGTGTCTACCAAGGGTCCCCCACAGAGGTCCCCACAGAGCCAGCAAGCCAGGGACAGAAACCTGCACCTGGGCCTACTCAGACCAAGACATTTGTTTACCCAGGAGGCCCTGGGTAGCACAGATAGTTCACACAGCTAACTGAAAGATTGCCAGTTCAAGTCCTCCCTGAGACAATTCAGAAAAAAAGTCTGGAGATCTGTCTCTTAAAAATCAGCCAGTAAAACCCTGGGGAACCACAGTTCTGCTCTAACACGTGCTGGCTTGTTGTGAGAGTCAGCTCAGTGCCACCCGGTTTCAGTTGCAGTAGAAATGAGCGCCTAACTGTCCCTGCCTGCAAGGTCACCCTGTGTCAGACCACCTCACCTGCAATGAGTTTGGGATTTTCTCATTTGGTTAGTTTTGTGTTTTGAAATACCTGTTGGTGGTTTCCCTGCCTGGTTCAGCCCTTAAACACAGTTGGCTGCTAACCCATTTGGGGATTGAAACAAGGCCTAGTGATCCACTTCTGAAAAGTCAGTGAAGACACAGTTCTACTCCGACGCACACCAGGTCACCTGGAATCAGGCAGGGGGACCGCGGTCTGCACTAAAGGCCGGCCCCGACCCTCATTTCATGATGTAGAGCCCTCTGGGTGGGAACCGCCCTGCATGGTGGAGGGGGGCAGCCCTCCCTGCACCCACCTCGTTCCTCTCCCTCCCCTTTCAGGACTTCCGGGAGAAGAATATGGACTACATGCGGCCCGACATCGTGGCACTCCTGCGTGGCAGCGACAGCTCCTATGTGCGGGAGCTCATCGGCATGGACCCGGTGGCGGTGTTCCGCTGGGCGGTGCTGCGGGCGGCCGTGCGCGCCATGGCCGTGCTGCGGGAGGCTGGCCGGCTGCGGGCCGAGAGGTCAGAGAAGGCGGCAGGTAAGCAGAGCGAGGGTGTCCTGTCACCCCTGAAGCTGGCCACCCCGCACACACGTTACAAAACACAGCTTGGCCCTGGCCCCGCCCTGTGGTAGGTTTCAGATGCATAGACCTTTCCTGGTTAGTTTTGAAAAGCTTGTCACCGGGCTGTCCTCCTTCGTCCCATCTTGTCCTGGAAACTCCCCTGGAACCTGCTCAGTCACACAAACCACAGAGGGGTGGTGGCTGCATGGGAGGTGCATTAGCCGGGAATCGAACCCACAGCTGCTTCTTTTCCCCCTCCCCTGTCTCTGGCAGCCCCTGATCTGCTTTTCTGCCTCTGTTTCCTGTTCTGGATATTTCTTGTAAATAGAAGTAGGCTATATGTGGCCTCTTGTGCCTCCCCTTTCATGGAGCACAATGTTTTCCAGCTGCATCCTCATCGTAGGAAGCTCTGGTGGCCTAGTGGCAAGAAATTGCACTGCAGTCCCAAAGGCACACAGTTCAAGTCCACCAGCTGCTTCATGGGAGAAAGATGAGCAGTTTCCTCCCATGTGGTTAACTGCCTCAGAAAAACCCCCCAGAGGCTCAGCTGTGGGTCGGTTCTGACTCAGTGGTACTCAACAACAGCATCCTGGTTGTAGCTTGTGTTGCGGCTTCAGGCACACCATGGCAGGGGGAATGTTTGAATTGTTTCCGCCTTTTGACCTTTCTGCTGATTTGATTTTGAACTTTGATTTTTTACTTCAAACACTGTCAAGACAAGATTATTAGCAGCCGGAATTCTATGACAGTGAGGTTGGGTGACTGTGGGGACATCTTTGCAAGGAGGTTTTAAGCTGGCCTGTCACCAGTGGACAGGAGTTCACGTTCCCATTTCTCCAGTGTGGAACCTTCTAGAAAGGTTAAATGACTGTCAGCCAGTGCCTCACAGCACCAGCTTTCTGCACTCCAGGTGCTCCATTACCTGGATAGAAGTTATCAACTAAAAGGAACACAGAAAAGATTAGACCCTTGCAAGAAAATATGAAACAGGGCTCTTGTTGTTAAGAAGGAGGTGGCATCTCCACTCTGCCCCAAATTTATGCCAGACATTGCTTTTATTTTTCAGTTTTATTGTGTTGTAGGGAATATAGGCAACAAGCGCATACACCACGCTTCCACATGCACCGTTGATGATGTGTTATCCACGCTCACCCTCCTTTCCTGACTTGTTCATCTTCCAGTGATATAAACCCACTGCCCTCAGGTGACCATCTGACCTTTTGACTTGCTAGTGTCCATTGGATCTTAGATTGTTCTCGCAGACATTCTTTACAGGTTAAGCTGTCCTATTTGATTTTAAGATCGTGCATTGCTTTCAAGATTGGCCAGTGTAAGGCCTACCACTAGAGTCCCTGCGTGGTGGTCCATAGTGAAGGACTTGCTGCTGGCCAACACACAGGAGTGTGGACTCTCCCCAGAGGCTCCTCAGAAAGGCTGACTGCCTAACTCCTAGGTGTTATCCATGGCAAACCCTCTGAACTGTTACACTCAGTACAGATGAGGTCACATAATTCAATACAAATTCTGTGGCATCTAGTTAGGCTTCATGGGAAAGACCAGGTTGCTTGGCTCCAGGTGACCTCGTCCCACTGTGTCCACTCTGTCCCCAGCAGGTACAGGTGGCTCCGGCTTCCGAAATCACCTGGGAGAGCCGCAGAGATCAGCCAGCACCCCGTCAGAAAAGCTGTACCGGTGAGCAAGATCTCTGTCCAAATCAGAGCCTCTACAGGAAGCCCCTGGGTGGCACAGTTAAGCACTTGACTGCCTGCTGCAAAGTTGGCAGTTCAGACGCACCACACCCAGAGGCTCCTTGGAAGACAGGCCTGGTAATGCGTTTCCCAAAGGTCTCACAGCCTCGAGAACCCTGTGGAGCAGTGCTGCCCTGCACACATGGGGCATGACCAGTAACCCAATTCTATATCCACGCTCAGGGTCACAGTGCTGCTGAAATGGTCTCAAAATCCCCACCTTGCACCCTGAGGTGTGACCACTGATCTGAATGAGTGACCAGTAGTGTGGCAGGGGCGGTGGGGGGGGTGCTCCTTTAGTAGAGGGTCCTCCGTTGAACAGTGAGCAGGTCAAGGACAGAGAGACATGCTTAACTAAAGAGTCCTCCTTCCCTGAGTCAGAGGTCCCTGGGAGGCACAGCCTGCATTAAACTACTACAAAGGTTGGTAGTTGGAACTCATCTAACAGTGCCATGAAAGAAAGGCCTGGCTGTCTGCTTTTATAGTCATAAACCTCCTGGAGCAGTTCTACTCCATTGTCACCAGGGTCAGGATCGGCTCGTTATAGAGGTTCCCCTTAGCCTGGGTGGGGTGTTCCATCTGCTTAGTGACCACACAGTGTATGTTGTGCCCAGTAAGGAGTGACTGAGTCTCTGGTGCAGTTAACGCACTTGGCTGCTAGCCGGAAGGTTTAAAGTTCAGGGCCACCCAAAGGCACCTCCAAAAATTCGTCCGTTGAAGCCTCTGCAGGATACAGTTCTATGCTGGCATACATAGGGTCACCAGAGGTTGGATTCAGAATGCACTTAATGACACCTTTTAGCAGTTACTGAGAGTCCCACATCCCTCAGAACATACCAGCTCCAGGGGATAAGTGACCAGCACATCGGGTGAGAGACCACTGTGCAGTGCAGTCAGGGCCATGCTGGACAGATGCCAAGTAGGGACAGAGCAGGGAGGGAGGCTCCCCGTCAACCCTGCAGAGCTAGGCAGGCTGAGTTGAAAAGGAACACAGTGAGCCAGGGCTGGAGAGAACTTGTTGTGCAAAGGCCCTGGGGCAGCCACCTCCCTGCTTGTTTTTCTTCTGTGGGATCCACAGATCCCATGGGCAGTGAGTACTGCAATTACTGTGAGTAAATAAGTTACTTTTTAAATTTTTACCTCCTGTGTAATCATTTTTCTAGCAGAACACTGGGCTAGCACCTGAGTGACTGAATCATCCATCTGAAAGCACATCTCATTTTCTTTCTTTGAACCATGTGCATTTCCAAATCAGCTTTTTTTTTTTAACTGAAAATGGAAATACAAGAAAAATGTTTTGACTTCTTTTTTCCCAAAGGAGCGCTTTTGGCCCTCTAATCTCTCCCAGGCCCTAGCCCCTGGCCGCGGTCCCCCCAGAGAGTACATCCAGTTTATACAGCTTCTCCCTTTCAGCTGCTCAATGCTAGATTTCTCATTTGACGGTTCTGAGGAGTTCGATATTAACGCTTTTGAGGACATCATTGCTTTCTATGAAAGCAAGAAGTAAGTGGAAGCAAAGGCCCTCAAACCCAAGACCAGGGAGGCACGGGAGCAGAGCCATCTGCCCCGGCACACCGAGCAGCATCAGGGCAAAGAGAGGGTAGATGAGGGGCACCAGGGCCAGCAAGGAATCCGGCCGCCAGATTCGGCGAGGGAGGGTTGTGGGCTGAGGCTGCTGCACAGGCAGTCCGTGGAAATCAAATCTGTTCTCTTTGCTCTGTGCCTCCCTGGAGAACGAGGGCGGGGAGGTAAGTGCGGCTTCCGGTCTGGGCACCTGGTCTGGCTCACGCGGTCTGGTGCATGGTACACAGATAATGGGGTGCTGCTCAGACCCTTCCCACTGCCGCGAGCTTCAACATGCACGTAAAACAAGCAAAACGCAACGTCCGGACTAGTCCTGGAATCATTCCAGAATGTTCTGTTAAGACATTCATTCTTTGTATGCTTTCTGTTGCTCATTCATTCTAAAACCACTCGATTTTCACTTCTCAGCCATCGTCTTGTGCTGTTACCCAACTCTGAGGCTTGGAGAATCAGCTCCAAACCAAAAGCAATTAAACAAAATAGAGCAAATAAGAGTGAATTCTTGAGGGTGACAATCTCCTGACACTGGGGTATTTGCTTTTACCCTCGGCACTGCTGACATTTGAGTCCAAAGTGTTTTTCGGGGAAGGGGGCTGCCCTGTACACCCAAGGGTGTTGAGTGGCATCCCTGGTCTCCTCTGCCCACTTGATGCCAGTTTCACCTCCTCTCCCAGATATAACAGCCACAGTGGTCCCTGGTCATGGCCAGTGTTATCCCCTGGGGCAGAACAACGCTGATTGAAAATCGCCATCAGAGTCATCCCTCCCAAGCCTCAGGAAGTGACTGGAGGCTGAAGCTGGCATCACGAGGGAACAATGTGCTGCTTCCTGCAGAGACCCTGTGGTCAGGGGCCCTTGCCACACTGCAGACCCACTCTGCTCAAAGCCCCCAGGCAGGGAGGTGGCCAGTAGATGAGGGTGGCGTTTTGTGTGCTGAGCATATTTGCATGTTTCAGCTCCAGTGGCCAGGGGAACAGTTCCGACGGCACAGGGACACCCCCCAGGCGATGGGCCAGCTACTCTAACTCTGTCTTCTTTCTGTCACTGTACCCCCTTCTCTCCCCCCTACTGGTCCCCCCCCAGAGAATTGCATGACCAAATCATCAGGACCATCAAAGGGCTGCCCTGGCAGGGTGAGGACCCCCGGCGGCTTCTCCAGTCCCTCAGCCGGCTCCAGAAACCCTGTGTCTTCATCCTGTGAGTCCCTCCTGTGGCCGCGCAGCCCCCTTCCCCTTCAAAGTGCAACAACCGCTACTGCCGCCCCTGGGGCTCCCCCTTGCGCCCCCCCATGCCCCCCCAGCATTCCTCGCCAGCTGCTAAAACTACACTGAGCTTTCTTGACCGTGGGGCGTGGCTGCAAGCCAGGCTGACCAGGCCTGAGCCGCCTGCACTGCGGCCCCAGCAGCTTGGTCAGAATGTGCGCATCTAATCATTTGCCCGCCCACCTAAACATGCTCCTCAGCTAACAGAGCAAAAGTTTGCTTCTCTCTGCCTGAGTCAGAGTTCTCTAGAGAGGCAGCCAGAGGATGTATCTCAAGGGAAAGAATTGGCTTCATTCAGAGAGTGAGCTTGTGTTATTGTGGGGGCTGGCAAGGCCAAACCCCCATAAGTCAGGCAGCAGGCTATAGAGCCCCCAGAGTCCAAGGTCAGGCAACAGAGAAAGTGTAGACAAGAGAGAACCTGGAGTAACTATTTGTGATTTGAAGGCAAAGCTAATGCTTGGAAATGCCCCTTCAGCTGACAGGTTGATTACATTAATGACTTGATGGAGGTGATTACTTCCCATCACCAGACAGCAGTTTAGACTGGCACTTGACCATATCCTGGCCAGGTGGACACATATTTGCTGTCACGCCCTCCTTGACCAGTGTTAGCGTCTAAAGAAGCCCGTAGGAGTGGTGGTGCTCACCCAAAGCACAGCCCGAGTTTGCAAACTACAGTGGATATGATTGGGTTGCCCAGACGGCACACAGCTTGAGTTTGGTCCTCTCTGCTGTGAACTTATCCATCCAGGGACATGACCTCCTAGAAGCTACTGGACGGTTCCTAGAGTTACTCCTCCAGCTGCATAATAGGGGTGATGTTCCTGACACCTGTGTGGCGTGAACCCAGGAGGGAGCCTAGCCAGTGGGCTCATGGGGATCACTGTGTCACATCTTCACGGGCCACTCTGGACTCAGACCAGCTCACAGCCCAGCCAGGGAGGCAGCATTGAAATCTGTTTGCTTTTGACTTACTCAGACCTGGTATCTTCAGAGGCCACAAAGAGGAAGCACAGTCAAAAGATTGGAAGTTCAAGTCCACCCAGAGGCAACTTCAGAGAAAAGCTTGACAGTCTGATTCCAAAAAAAAAACAGCCACTGAAAAGCCCAGAAGAGCTCGGTTCTGCTCTGACTGCTGTGGGTCTCGCCATTCTCGGGGTCAGCTCGATGGCAGCTGTTCTGTAACTGACCCCAAAAGGATGACAGTGAAACCTAATGCCACCGGCCCCTCACAGCCTGCACGTTCATGCCAGCATTTCGCGCCTCTGCAGGCTACTGTTTCCTCAGCCTATTTGAAAAGCAAGCCTGGCTGCTCCTTGTATTTTTGTTTTGTCTACGAGGTTCAGTGATATGTCTGAGAATGTGGGGGGAGCCAGCCGGAGGCAAAGGGACCATCCCACCTCCCTTCCTCCCTCTTGTCACAGGATCAGCCTGTGTGCCTCCTCCCCACCAGCATGAATACAAAAAGAACTTGTCCTTCTGCCCCCAGGTCAGCCCCATCTCACAGTAGCCTGTGCTCAGCAGAGCAGAAGCTGCTCAACTCTGCCCGTCCCCAATCTCAGACCCTTGTGGTCCATAGGGTTTTCAGAAGGAGATTGCCAGGCCTTTCTTCCCAGTCCATCTTAGTCTGGAAATTCTGCTAACATCTGTTTGCCATCAGAGCAACACACAAACTTTCATGGACAGTTGGTCCCTACACATAAGGTGCATTGGCTGGAAATCAGGACCTAGGTTTCCCATTTGGCCCTGAGCCACCACCACCTTGTAATAAAAGCTCCTGGACTTTGCCAGCATATAGCAGATGCAACCAGTGCATCTGGTAGTGTGCAAACTACTCAGAGTCTCTTACTTTTTTTTTCTTTACTATGGCAAAGTTAGATACAGGTAGCCGCCACTTATGACAGAGTTCCATTATGATTACTTTCATAATTTCATTCTGACATAAATACCTCCTTTTTCTTTTTTTAAAAAAATAGCCTTGGTGAACTCTAGTGGCCTAGTGGCAAGAAGCTGCACTGCAATCCCAGAGGTGCATGGTTTGAATCCACCAGATGCTTTGCTGGAGAAGGAGGAACAATCTCCTCCTGTACCTGTCAGATCTGATTTGACAGTACACACAAAAAATAATAAAGTAAAATTAAAAAAAAATAGTCTAATTGTCACTCAAATGCCTATCCATAGTCAGTGAAACACATAGACATTCCTCTCGTACTCCTTTATTTCAGCCAAGATCCATCTGACAATGGTGATAATGTCTCTGTAGCGCCAAGGCCTCTTCTAAACCCAGCTTGTATTTCTGGTAGTTCTCTGTAAATGTACTGTTCCAGTCATTTTTTGATAATCTTCAGCAGGATTTTGCTTGCATGTGGTATTAGTGAAACTGAGGAGGTCATGAAGAGTTTGCTGCAGAAGGTCAAGGACTGTAGTTTTCAATATAGGTGAAGTTCAACATCAAGAAAACCAAGATTCTCATCACTGGGCCAATTAGCAGCACCATGATAAATGGAGAAGAGACTGAGATTGTTAACAATTTAAGCTTGCTCAGCTCCACAGTCAGCACTCTTTGCAGCAGTCAGAAAATCAAAAAGTGAATTGCATTGGGGAAATCTGCTGTCAGGAACCTTTCCAAGATGCTAAAGAGCAATTGTTGTTAGTCAAAAAACTAAGGTGTGCCTGATCCAGGCCATGGTCTTCACAATTATTTTCTTTGTATGAGAGAACTAGACAGTGACATAAGAGTGACAGAAGAAGAACTGATATCTTTGAATTGTGATGCTGGAAAACAGTATTGGATATACCATGGACTGCCAAGAGAACAAACAGATCTGTCTTGGAGAGGGTGAAACCAAGCTTCTCTGTAGAGGCAAGAATTTTGAAGATCCGTATCACTTTAACTGGCTAATGAGGGTATGTGTGTCGTAGTCAGTGAGATCGGCTCAGGACACAGCAGGGTTCAGAGCTATTGTACATAGGGTTGCTGTGAGACACAGGCAACTCGATGGCATATGACAGCAAACAACAACTGTCAGTATCTTTAAGTCCAGTCTTTGGTTAAAGCTTCGCATCTAAACCTTACAGGTATATTTTAATACACAGTACATCCATCCGTATAAAAGTAGACATACCCATTTTAAAAAAGTGGATAACATTGACATATTGTCAGTTGTGATTGTCACTCCACTTAGAGAAGATTCTGGATCATCCCCAGGAATGAGAATGGCTTTTCTAGTCACCAGTGAGCTGTGACGAGTAAGAATCATTTGTACAATCTTTTTGTGTGCTGCATGATAATAAGATGCACCCCAAAGACACAGACAGCAGTTTGTCATAACAGATAATTAGAGACCCCCGTGTAACAGGAACTCTGGTGGCATAATTGTAAAAAGCAGCATTGCAATCCCAAAGGCACGTGGTTTGAATCCATCTGCTGATTCCTTACGTGCAGTTAACTGCCTCAGAAAACCCAGTGAGGAAAAAAAAAAAGAAAACCCAGTGAGGGTCAGCTTTGGATTGGTTCTGACTCGATAGTACTCAAGAACAACCCATGTACCTGCTTGTGTAAAAACCAGTCTTTCCGGTCACCTGATGTGTAGGTGAGAGGTGGAGTGAAAAAAGATGACAGGAGAAGAATTGATGCCTCTGAGCTGTGGTATTGAAGGAGAGTATTGAATATCCCATGGATGGCCAAAAGAACAAACGAGAAAATGCAGCCAGGGTGCTCCTTAAAGGCCAATATGACAAAGCTTTGTCTAACATAGTCTGGGCATGTTGCTAAGAGAGGCTATCCCTTCAAGAGGGACATTAAGCTTGGGAAGGTGGAGGGTCAGTGAAGGAGAGGAAGGCCCTCAACACTATGGATTGATAGAGTACTTGCGGCAGTGAACTCAAACATGTCGAGGATGAAAATGGCGCAGGACCGAGTTCAGATCGATTGTTCATAGGACTGCTGTGAGTGGTACTCGTTTCGACAGCCCTTCACAACAACCAATGTACCATTTCCCAGTTGAGGCTTCCCACCTCTCCATATACATTCAGCATGTTGTGTAACCATCACTGCTATGTCCATGCTCATAATTTCTTGATGCTCCAGTGTGCTCGTCCCCATCACCAAATTTTAAGACCTGCCACCTCCTGTTTCACCACACCTGGGTAGAGGGGCCATCCCTGGATGACTCAAAGGCTTTCACTCACCCCCTGACCTAAAACGTTAGCATTTCACACCTAACCTCTCCCCTTTGGTGCTGTGAAGAAAGGCCCGGCAAGCTGCCACCAGAAAGATTGGGGAGTTTTTCCCTTTGGCCATCAAGTTATTTCCAACTCACAAAGACCCCACTTGTGCAAAGTAAAACGATCCATATGATTTTCAGAAACAGGTGGCCAGGCCTTGGTTCCAAAGCACCACTGGGTGGATTCGAACCACTTGCCTTCCAGCTAATACTGGAGCGCATCACTGTTAACACTACTCAGGGACCCCTTCCTTGAGGATCACAGCCAGGCACACAGCCCAGGAGCTACTCTGGCTCGCATGGGGCCACCTTGAATCGAAGGCGGCAGCCACGCCAGGGGTTTTTTGGTGTGTGAGGAGGAAAGTCTGCCTGTTTCTCCCTGGAGACTTGGATGGTCCCCTTCCCCACAGACCACATGCATGTCCGCTCAGGGAAGGCTGGCAGCGGCGTTAGGCAGCACACACAGCCATCCAGGGGCCCAGGGTTGGCAGCGGCCTTGTTGCACTTGCCTCCTCTCTTCTCTCTCTGCTCTCTCGCTTGGTCTAACCCGCAGGGCGTGGCTTGCTCGACTAACAAATACCAACAACACCCTGTTCCTCCTCTTGTTCACAAAACCATTTTTAATATTTTGACAGGAAAAGTAAAGGTATCAAACAAAAGCAGATCATTCCCAAGGTAAACATGCGCGGCTGGCCGAGAAACGATGTCTGGACAACCCCAGGCTGGAGTCGTTATCCGAAAACCGGGGGGAAACACTTGTCACTTCTCAGCCCTTTGGGCACCTTCCTCTTCATAAGGATTCCCCACTCACCCAATTTTATTTACTTTTGTCCCCCAGTTTCCCATACTAAAATGATTTGGCGCTGTCTTTGGGTTTCTTGGAAGCCAAGCCTGAAGTGGGGGTATTAGCACAAGAGTTGCATGGAAGGAGGGAGCACTCAGACCTTATTGGTCTAGTATTGGTCACAGGTCACCTCTTCAGAGGTGTCACACAGCCACAGACCCTCCCAGGAATCTCTAGGAGGGGAGACCCTTGCAGCCAGGAGCTCTACCTAGCCACTTCTCTCCCTATAAATTTAGAGATATTTCTAGAACAGTCTCTCAGTTTCATCAGTACATTGGGTAATGCTGGCTCCTATGGTCACCCAGATTGGCCTGTGGGCAGCACAGATGGGCTAGATCCTCCTTGACTCATTTGAGAGAGTAAATCTTGACTCATAGCTGAAATGCAGCTCTTGGCAACCCTGACAGAGAGAGAAGACAGGGCATCCTCGGGGCCATCCGAGAGGCTGTAGCCAGCCTCCCACACCACCCCACACCCAGCAGGCCCTTCTTTTCGACCTCAGAAAGTGAGGCCACGAACCTCAGAGTCCATGACGAGATTGTGGCTCAGGGCTGTGCCCCGGTACCCACTGGGACGGTGGAGGCCAGGCCAGACCCCAGCCCCCATGCCTCTGCCCTAGAACCTGTTGGACTCCAAGTCCCTGAAGCTCATCATCAGCATGACCCTGCACGACCGAACCACCAAGTCGCTGTTGCACCTGCATAAGAAGAAGAAGCCGCCCAGCATCAGCGCACAGTTCCAGGTGTGTCGGCAGGGGGAGACTGAGGCAGGGTGGTGCTCAGCCAGGACCGCTCACGTGGCTCGGCGTCGACCATCTGCAACGCCATCAGCTCACGCACATGCTACACAGTGGCACTGCGAGCCTTTGATTCTGGAACATTCTCTGTGGGTAGCGGTCACTCTGTACACAGCAGAATGTTGAGCAGTATTTCTGGTCCCTCTCTGATCACTGCCAGTAATAACCACTCCTCTGAGTTGTGGCAATCAGAAAGGTTCGCAGACATGACCACTATCTTAGAGAACATGACTAGAGTTACCCCCAGGAGTGAACCTTGTGGTCAGCACGTTGGTTAGGGAACTCATCTGACCGCCAGCTGGCTTTGTGACCTCTGATTTTCTGGCCTACCAAAGGACCCTGCACACATTTCAGTACACAGACAGAGTGAAAGGGGAAAAGATCCCAAAAGCCAGGGGTCCCCTGACTTAAACTGTCTAAACCATTGAGAATTTAATCTGATCTATGGCATGAGGTAGACATTGGGCCAGTTCTTCACCGCCCTCTCAACAATGCAGCATTTCCCCACTTCATCACTGCTGCTGTGGGGTGGGGTGTCCTGTGCACCATAGAGTATTGGTCACGTGATCCCAGTAACTCCCACTCCTCCAGTGGTGACAACCAGATATATCTACTGATGTTGCCAAGTGTTCCCTGGGGTAGAATCACATCAAATGAGAACCCCTGGGTCAGGGAACTCTGTAGACCTTCAAAGGCGCTACATCCCCTAATTATCCAACCTGCTGAAGTTCTAGGATGCTCTACAATTTAAATATACAGGCTGAGTAGGGAGATAAAGAGGAAGTTCCAGACAGTGGAGGGTCACCTGGGTTCATACCATCCAGTGGCTCAGGAATTCACTCTGGTATGTGGTGTGAGGCAGGGAGCGAACTTGCTTCTAACCTCCCATCCCACAAATAATTAGCGCATTTCCCCACTTCACCATTGCTGACATTTGGTCCCAGTGGTTCCTTGTGGTCGAGGCTATCCTGTGTATTGTAGGATGTCAAGCAGCATCCCTGGTCTCCATCTGTTAGAGGCCAATACTGCATGCCCTCCCCCCGATCCTGATAGCCACAGAGATGTGCAGACTTTTCCCAGTATGCTCTGGGGCAGGATCGCCCTTGGTGACAACCGCTGGGTCACATGCCGCTTGGCCCAGCACACTGGCCAGTGATGCCACCAAGAAGTCATGCAGTCATGTTTCCTCCCCCCCACCACCACCACCACCACCCTGGCTTCTAGGAAATATGGAGACATGTTTTTAGAGGGGACAGCAGCTATCAAACTTACCATTTGCTTTTTCATTCCTTTCTACTCTCCTCCGTCTAAGGTCTGTCCCCACTCTCACCTATTTTTAAACCTGGGGGAGCTCTTATGACCTTGTGGGAAAGAATGGACCATTTTGCGTACCCGACTCTCTCTCCCTCACACATACACACACGCATACACACTCTCCCCCCCACCTTCCTCTCTCTCTCTTTCTCTCCTACACTAATCCAGCTGTTCCCACAATTCAGTGACAGTACACACTGTCACTGCCCTCTGCCCATTCACCCCACTGCTGTCTGCAGATGCTCACCTCTCCTGAAGCTTCTTATCCAGCCTTTCAAGTTGTTGTTGCAAAGTTTGTCAATTTGACATCTCACCTAAATTACCCTTTCAAGGAGCATCATGAGAACTTAAGACAGACATAATCTCTTCATTAAGGTCAACTTAAATTTGGTTTAAAGATAACTTCAAGAGCCAAGACTTTTTTAATTCCCCAGAAAGCCTGTGGCCCTCCCACATCCACCTGAGATGGCAGGTGAGAGACACAGGGGAGGTGTTGGATCTTAGCAGTGAGGGCACCACTAACAACCCCACAGAGGCTCCCCAGGGTAGCACAGTCTCTGATCAGAATCTGTGACTTCACAATTGCCGTGTCCTGCTCCCTGGGACCTGTATCCCCTTTGGCAAGCAGTGTGCTCGTGGGGCATCTTGGCCCAGCTCAACACAGAACTTTCTCTGTCTTTCCCTAGACGTCCCTCAACAAGCTCCTGGAGGCACTGGGCAAGGCAGAGCCCTTCTTCATCCGCTGTGTCCGCTCCAATGCCGAAAAGGTGAGCGTTGTGGGAAAATGGGTCTGGCGTGGGCCAGGGTCCTGGGGTGGCCTCCCACCTCTGATGGCCTTCACAGAGGATGTGGGGTCAAGACCATAACCAGCTCGAGGGAGAGACTGCACGAGCACAGCAGCTCTCAGGGCTCGGAGAGAATCATGCACAGTGGTTGTGCTGGGATTCCACCTGGGACACGAGCCCCCATCCGGTTCTTCCCAGCCATGGACACTCCCTGACCGCTCCCTCCCACACCGTTCCAGAAAGAGCTGTGCTTCGACGAGGAGCTGGTTCTGCAGCAGCTGCGCTACACGGGCATGCTGGAGACCGTGCGCATCCGGAGGTCGGGCTACAGCGCCAAGTACACCTTCCAGGTACCTGCCCATGCGCGCACGTTCACACACACGTCCAAGCGCCTGTGCAGTCACGTCCTTCCTCTGTCTCTCCATGCCACCTTCCCTCATATACAAGACTAGGACCCGCCCTACGCCAGTGCAACCTCGTGTTAGCCTAATGGTGACATTTGCAAAAACCCCATTTCCAAACAGGGTCATGGTCACCGGTACCTGGGTTAGAACCTGGACATATTCGTTTGGGGGACACCATTCTATCCATAAGAGAGGCTGTCCATGCACCGTAGGCTGTTGGGCAGTATCCTTGGCCTCCACCCACTTGATGCCAGTAATTGTACCTTCCCAAACCTCAAGTGTTTATAACCATAGATGCCTCTGCACCTCACTTCATGCCACAGTGAGAGCCCCGTGTCCCACCACACACTGGCGAGTGTAGAGCCAGGGTGGGAGGGCATGGCAACGTGTCGACGCCAGCACGAGGCCCATGTGGCCTTGAATCACTGGGGTGTTTTCCTAACACTTAACTCTGAAGTATTTAAAATGACTATTTGCTTAAAAGACACATCCTGTTTGGGGATTTCTGAGAAAGTCAGACCTAGAATTACCATGGGAACCAGCAGCTCCGCTCCTGGGTCTGTACCCAGAAGATGGGAGGATAGACTCGGCCTGACACTTGTCCACTAGTCTTCAGAGCAGCCCTGTTCACACAGCAAAAAGGTAGAAGCAGGGCAGACATCGTGTCAGCAGATGAGTGAACACAGGGTGGACCATCCATAGCATGGAATGCCCCTCCAGCCGCAGCACCGATGGAACACCACCTGATGCGTGTTAGGACGTGATAAAAACATGAGTGCTGAGTGCTGACACGTATCGCTTGATTGTGTCTTTGTGATGTGTCTAGATTGGGCAAATGCGTAGAGACAAAGTTCATTCGTGGTTGACCAGATTCATGGTTCAAACCAGAGCCTGAAAGATCAAGGCTGAGCTACTTAATGAGAACTGGGTTGCTGATGCTGTTTGAGAATAGTCTGGAACTAGATAGTTCTGGAACTAGGATTGGTATGTTAGTGCCTCTCACTTGTACACTTCAAATAGCTAAAACACCAGGTTTTACATACTGTGTAGTTTGTTGCCACTGAGTGAGTGGCTCACAGGGACTCTGTTCAGTAGAAGGAACCCTCCGTGGTCTTGCACCTCCTCGCTGCTCTCGAACCCACGGTGTTGTCACAGTGTCAGCCCATCTTGTCCACGGTCTGCCTCTTTTTTTCCCTGATCCTCTGCTTTACTGAGCATGGTGGCCAGTGACTTTTCTGTTTGTTTTCTGAGGGATGATGTCTAGCACATGCGGCAGCAGCAAGAACTCAGTGAAATTGGTCAGACGCAAAAATATTTTGTAGTATCAGTTTCATGAAATGAAGAAAAAAGGCAGGAAATTATTTGTATGATGTGATTTTCTTTAGGCTGGGCTTTTTTTTTTTTTTTAAGGGGGACATGTGCCCTCGGCATCCACAGAGATTTGGACTGTTTCAGCAAGTCTATAAACTTTAGATTAGTTAAAAGACTCTTACAGGAAACCATGGCCTAGGAAATGCAGCCACTGCCAGGGAGTCACTGGAGCTCGGGGTGCGGCTCCTTGTCATTGCAGGGAATGTTCTCTCAGACCCTCTCTTCTCATCCAAACCCCAGGACTTCACGGAGCAGTTTCAGGTGCTGCTGCCCAAGAATGCCCCACCCTGCAGGGAGGTCATCTCCTCACTGCTGGAGAAGATGGCCGTGGACAAGAAGAACTACCAGATCGGGAAAACCAAGGTCAGCACGCACAGGCCTCTCAGCCACATGCAGGTCCGCTCCTGGCCCCGAACCTCTCTCTGTTTCACCCATTAAGGGTAAGGCAGTCCGTGCAGGAAGTGGGATTCCTGGGCCCGACACGTTATTCCCCAGCAGAACTGTGGGACCACGCGACACAAGTTCTGACCTCTGGTCCCCTTGGTCAGTCAGCATGCCCGCTGCCCAGGTGTCCTTCCCAGGGTGGGCTGCCAGCTGACCGTCTCCCCCGCCCGGCCCTCACCTCCGGCCAGGTGTTCCTGAAGGAGCTGGAGCGGCAGGCGCTGCAGGAGACACTGCACCGGGAGGTCGTGCGCAAGATCCTGCTGCTGCAGAGCTGGTTCCGGATGGTTCTGGAACGCCGGCACTTCCTGCAGATGAAGCGAGCAGCCGTCACCATCCAGGTACCGTAGGGCCCCAGGGCTGTGTTGGGGGCTGTCCAGATTCAGAGACTCAGTCCTGATCATGCACTCCACCCCCCACCTCAGGCCTGCTGGCGTTCCTACCGAGTCCGGCGGGCGTTGGAGAGGACACAGGCGGCCGTGTTCCTTCAGGCCGCGTGGAGAGGCTACCGACAGAGGACAGCCTACCGGCGCCGGAGACAGAGCATCATCCGTCTACAGAGCCTCTGTCGGGGCCACTTGCAGCGTAAGAGGTGAGTAGAACATTCCAGAATGTGCTGGAAGCTGGGACCAAAGACCTGCCTGAAATACTAAGAGGCCTTTCTAGGAAGGGCTGGTGCAGCCAAGGGACATCAGGTGACAGGAACCAGACTCTGCTGAGGAAACTTCCAGTCAGCCAGGGACCTCTGCACAGCTGACCGTCCTGGGCCTGGACCAATCCGTCACCAGATACCTGGGTTAAGATTGAGAGATAGGTCATCTAAAGACCCCGCCAGGCTCCCGCCCCTGTACAAGCATCCTCAAGCTCCAAGATGTGCATGCACACCCCTTCCTGACCACTCCTCAGCTCCTGATAGCACAAAGTCTTGACCCCACTAGAAACCTAGGCACTGTCTCTGTCTCTGGCCACACAACAAAAACCCACTCAGAGAGTTCAGCTAGGACATAGCCTCAAACAGCCCCTCAAGTATTCCTACACCAGAGTAAAAGAGGCGTCCTCCCCAGACAGTGAACCAGGCCAGACTAATAGCAGCAGCAAGGGGTGTTGCTTGTTCCTGCCACCTCCCAGTTGCCCTCTGACCTCACCATCTCAGAAATGGGGGAAGACTTGTGTCTGAGGTGGGGGTCTTCCTTTCCCTCTCCCCCCCACAGCTTCAGCCAGATGGTCTCGGAGAAGCAGAAAGCAGAGGAGAAGGAGCGGGAAGCCCTGCTTGCCGCCCAGGAAGCTGCCATGCGGGCTAGTGAGGAGCAGAGACTCACACAGATGCCACTTGAGGACCCTGAGCCCCTGGCCGTGCTAGAGCCTGGCCCACAGCCAAGTGACAAACTCCCCACAACGAACACCCAGCCAGAGACTCCTGCCCCAGAGAAGCCCACCCCAGCCCAGAAGCTACCAGCCGAGGGCCACGACAAAGCCCCCAGCAGCCGCGAGAAGCGGGAGTCACGGTGGCAGAGGGGCCTGGAGCGCGTGCAGTTCCTGAAGAAGCACATCCAGTCCTGTAAGGAGGAAGGGGTCCTCAGAGATGCACCCGAGAGGGCAGGCCCAGAGCTGAGGGAGATCCTTCCAGAAGACCAGAAGGAAAGCCAAGAAGAGGGCACCCCCTCAGAAGCAGGACTGGGGGCCGAGCCTGTGTCCCCTGTAAAGCCACCCCCGGAGGTGTCACAGGCTGCCGCTTGCAAGCTCCCTTTGTATGGCCAGGAGGGGAGCCCAAGGTCTGAGCACCTGGAGCGGCCCACCAGCCTGGCCCTGGGCAGCAGTGCCCCAGAGACCCCCAAGGACAAGGGCAGGTCTAGTGCCAGCCCCCGGGACCAGCCTGAGAGCCCCAGCGGCACGGCCCAGATCCAGCGGCACCGGGACACTGACTCCGAGCGCCTGGCCAACGCTGTGGAGCTGTGGCGTGACAAGAAGCTCGTGACCACCAGGCCTTCCGCCATGCTCAGCCAGTCCTTGGACCTCAGTGAGCGGCGCCCGGCTGCCCTCAGGCCCACAGAGTAAGCCCAGCGCCCACCTTTGCGTGAGGCCTAGGGACCCTTGTCAGGGTAAGGGGCAGCAGGGAGCTGCAGCCAAACCCAGCCTTACAATCCTCAAGCCTCCCCACACTCAGGAGCCCCCCAGCCTTGTGGGCACCCTTGGGAGCTGAGGCAGTTGAGAGGTCCAGAGAGTATGCAGTCCCAACGCAGGATCCTGAGCCCCCACAGAAATCAAGGGCTTTGCTCACACAGGAAGCTCCCAGCCCCCACTAGAGGTAACCCATCAGAGCAAAGTCCCAGTCCCACCATCCTCTCACTGGACCTGCCTCCTCACCAATGAGCCAGTTGCCAACACACAGTGACCCTGTGTGTGCCAGAGTGGAAGTAGATATTGGAGGGTTTGTAATCACTCATCTTTGGGAATTAGGTAGCCAAACCTTTCTTTCAAGGTACCTCTGGATGGACTTAAAACTCCAGCTTTTCAGTTAGCAACCAAGTACATGCATCATTTGTACCCCGCAAGGAGTCCCCCAGCCCAGGCATGGAAGCTGGCTACGTTGAGAAAGAGACACAGCTCTCATACACATCTGACACTGACTGCACAGGCAAAAAAAAAACCGTTTAGAAGGAATCACAAGGGCTTTTGGGGAAATCAGGGCTCCCCGCCTCAGCATTGCTCACATTCGGTTCTAGATCGTTCTCTGTGCTACAGTGTTGAGCACCATCCCTGGCCTCCACTGGCTTGATGCCCATAGTACCCACCAGTAGGCATGACAGCCACCAGGGTCTCCAGCTACAATCAGGTTTCCTCGAGGGTCATAGGGAATTTCATTGGCCCCCAAGGGGTGATCATGTGTCCACAATCATCTGACCTACCGAAGTCCTAGAATGCAGCCCATATTTCAGTCCATATACTGAGTGGGGAGGGGGCAGAGTCTCAGAAAGCTGGAGGCTGACCCTGGCTTAGGTGATCTAATCTGGCTGGAGATTGTATGGTGTGAGGTAGGGGTCAATCTCAAGTTTTGGTACATTGTCTTCACAAGTAATTAACACAGGCGTTTTTCTACCTCAGCCCTATTGACATTTGATTCTAGAACATTGTGGTGGAGGATGTCCTATGTACTGTAGAGTGTTGGGCAGCATCCCTGGCCTCCACCCAAATACCAGCCACACCCCTGTTCTAGACACTCAGAAGTACCCCCTGGGAGCAGTCACTCTGAGTGAGAATCGCCACCCCGGGACTGTGTTCCTGGAACATAAACCTGTTTCTGTTGTCCGACAGGGAGAGGCGGATTTCCCTATCCACAAGTGATGTCTCCAGCCTCCTCGTATCTCCTTCCAGGACTCAGGTACAGTGTCCAGCATGGCGTATACCCCTGGGGTCTCCTGCACAGACCCTCACAGCCCTGCAGAGAGGGCTGGTTGGGAGCCAAGAGTGGGGGCACGTGGAGGGCCTGGCTTTACCTCTGCTCATCCAACCACTCCCTCACAGTCCTTAGCAGAATCCGTGGATGGGGAGCCCAGTTCCAAGAAGCCAGCAGTCCAGAAGAAGAAGTCAGGTGACTCGACCTCCATCACAGACACAGGGCTGTCCCCGGGCAGCCAGCCTGACTCCAAGTGAGTGAAGGAGGCAGCAGAGGTGGGGGTCCAGGTCCACTCAGGGATCAGTGGCATAGATTAAGCACGATCCTACAGTGCGTTGCACCTCCAGCCTAGACTTGCAGCATGGCCCTGTCCGGGCCAGTCACTCCACCGGGGCCACCTCCTCTGAGCCCACAGACAGCTCAAACCAAAGCCCTTGCTGTCTCAGTTATCTAGTGCTGCCGTAAGAGATACCACGAGAAGATGGCTTTATCAGACAGATTTTTTTTTTCTCTCACAGTTTAAAAGTCCAGATTCTGGGTGCTGACCCTAGAAGCAGGCTTTCTCCCTGTTGGTGCTGGAGGAAGGCCAGCTTTCCTTGGAAACCTCTGTGTTTCTTGGCCTCCTCCCGTGTGGAGGAGCCTCAGCTCCTGTCATTCTTTGTGGTGCTCTGTCCTCTCATACGTCAGAAGACAAAACGTGACAGCCCACACCCCAGGGAAACTCCTCTTACAGCATCAGGCTTCTTATGAGATTAAGGGTATAGCATCCCACCTTTAATCCTGTTATAGCTGCTTGGTGTCAGTCATAGAGGTTCATTACAGAACTTCCATATTACATTGTTACATAGTTTTATTTTAGGGGAGACATAGTTGAATCCATGAGGAGTATTGAAAGAAGAATTGTGTTCCATAAGGTCATTAATGGTCATACTTCAAAAGTAGATTCCAGTCCTTTCTTCCATGATGCCTCTGAATGGACTTGAACAGCCAAGCACTTAATTATTTGTTGCACCAGGAACTGTGAATTGGTTTGTTGTTGTTGTTGTTGTTGTGTACCATCAAGTCAGAACCAACCCATAGCTGACCCTCCACCCTTCCAAGCATAATGTCTTTCTCCAGGGACTGATCCCTCCTGGCAACATGCCCAAAGTATGTGAGACAGAGCTTCAAAATTCTTGCCTCCAGGGAGTAACTCAGTTTCACCTTCTCGAGGACAGACCTGTTTGTTTTCTTGTCAGTCCATGGTATCTTCAGTACTCTCTCCAGCACCACAACTCAAAGGCATTGATTCTTCTTCTTCTTCTTTTTTTTTTTTCATTTTTATTTATTTATTTTTTATGTGTGTACCGTCAAATTGGATCTGACTGGTACAGGAGATAGTGTGATTCTTCTTTTATCATCCTTAGTCATTATCCAACTATCTGACTGCCTAGTGAGGAATTGTGAAGACCATGGCTTGAATCAGGCACACCTTAGTCTCCAGACTGATGTCATTGCTCTTCAGTACTCTGGTCTCCTAGCTGCCTTCAGTCAGCTCAGACCCTGACATCCTCATTTGCATCTGTGGCCAGTGTCTGTTCCCCTCATTGAGGAGCTCCCCCATTCCCACTGACCCTCTACCATTCACAGTGTCCTCTGCTAGTGAGTGTTCTTTCTGAAAATGTGTCCAGAGAGGCAGGTCTGACCAGCCTCAACTGCTAAGGCATTTTCCATCCTGTTTCTCTTAAGACAGCTTTGTTGAGTCTTCAGGCAGGCTGCCATTCAAATCTTTTTAAATAATATCTTACTGTATTTACACAGCAAATTATGCTCCCATTTGACAGTTTTTTCAGTGACTTCATCACATTTTTCCATTTCAGAGTTCGTTTTCCTTGTAGTCTGCTGATTTCACGTCCAGTACAGTTTCCCTGCCCTCTTAATTGTCTCATCTTTTGCATTTGAGTCCTTGTTGACTGTTGGATCTCATCTAGCCGGCTCTTTAACGGAGCAGCATGTTTATGGGGCGGAGGTTACTGTCATCATTCTGCACCATTGAGTCGAAACCAACTCACAGCTGACCCTCCAGCAGGACTGCAGGGGCTGTAAAGCGCGCAGGGGGAGAGCGGCCGGTGGATTCGGACCCTACGCCTCTGGTTGGCAGAACATGTGTCCTTTTGACACACGAGTGTTCTTTTGACACCTGAATGTCCTTTTGGTTTTGTGCCAGCCTGCTGGCTACTTCGCAACAAGGTAACCTCAGCATAGTTTTGGTTCTGGCAGCATTTTGTTCCAGCTCAGCACGGTCACAGATTATGAGCCTTCATAGTGCTGGCCAAGAAAACTGGACGTCCCGTCCATTTCCTGAGCCATAAACAGGCCCGCTCACCTTCTGCAGGTCTGCGTTCAAGAGGCTTTTCCTGCATAAGAACAGGGAGAAGGCTGAGAATACAGGTTCTGGGCACACTGGGTCCGAAGTCATTGCCACAAAGAAGAATCCAGAAGGTAGGTACCCACAGTCTTGGAGGCCGAGGATGGACCCTCGAGAGACCCCCAGGGGCTGTGGGCCGAGGCCACGAGCAGAGTGCTCCCCTTAGGCTCTGCCCTCACCTGCTGCCCCCTCCGCACAGCCGCCTCCAGCCAGCAACACCGACACCCAGCAGGAGAGAAGCCTGCCAAAGAGGCAGGAGGCCGGGGGAAGAAGAACCGGAACCTGAAGGTTGGCAAAATCACAGTGTCGGAGAAGTGGCGGGAGTCAGTGTTCCGCAAGATCACCAACGCCAACGAGCTCAAGTTCCTGGATGAATTCCTGCTCAATAAGGTGGGTCTGGCTGGACCAGAGCCACTGACCCCATAGCAGTACCCCACCAGCCTCAGGGCAGCAGAAACTCAGGGTCCAGAATTCCAACACACTGAGTGTTCCAGAAGCCACATACTTGTCCTTAAGTGTGGCACAAGCTGGTTGTGGCAACCCTGGGTGATTCAGCACACTCACCTGCTGGCCAAAAGTTTGGCAGTTCTAGCTTAGCCAAAAGTGCCTCAAAAGAAAGGCCTGGTCATCTACTTCCAATACATGAGCCGTCAACAGCCCTCTAGAGCCCGTGGAGGGTGGGAGGGAGCAGCATGAGTCAGAATGGAATCGACAGCATCTGGTTGGATCTTTGGGTAAAACCTGAGGCACGTTCGTGGGAGACAGTTTCTAGTCTGTTCCTGTAGGCGTTGGTATTTTCCTGCAGTGTAACAGTGAGCGTGGGTCTCAGTTTTCGAGAGCCGCCTCCACGGGTACCGCACCCTGGTCACGTAGACACCACAGAGCAGGCGCTCCCTGTCTCAGAGCTCTGGAGGCTCCAGTTCAGATTCAGGGCCTCAGCTGGTGGTGCTTTCTCTGTCAGCTCAAGAGATCTCTTTCCAAATGAGTTCATGCTCACAGGCCCCAGAGCTAGTCTTAGTGTTAGTCTTAGTCTTGATTTATCATCTTTTGAGTTGAACCCACAGTAGACATGTCCCTTGTAAACAAACGTGGCTGCCTCCAACGTGGGCTGGAGGTGGACACTCAGGGCGAGTCCAGCAGACAGCACACCACTGGAGAACTTGCCCAGCCTCTCACAGGCTCATGGGTCAGGACCCTGCAATAGCAGAGGCACCATGGAAAGAACCAGCCTGTGGGACCCAGCACAGTCCTGGGCCCTGGGCATGGCCAGGCCTCCAGGCCTGTGTGCACTGGAGCCAGGGTGCGAGTGTTTCTCAGCGAGGTCAGTTCTGTCCTAAGGGAATGTCTAGCAGCAGATATTTTGGACTGTCACAAATGGGAGAGTGTTGGTACTGTTGGCATCCAGCAGTGCCCAGGACAGACCCCACCACCACCACCTCAGACAAGAATCCACCCCCACATGTCTAGTGAAACCACAGCTCACAGCAACCCTGTGTGTCAGAATAGACCTCAGCTCCGTAGAGTGGATTTTTTTGGAACTAGCTTGCCAGGCCTTTCTTCTGATGCACTGTAGGTTATCTCAAACTGCAACCTTCCAGTTAACAGCTAAGGACATAACCATTAGCACTCCAGCATCCCCACATATCTGATAAGTAGTTAATATCCTTGGAAAAAGACATGATGCTGGGAAGGGTTGGAGGGTCGGCGAAGGAGAGGTAGACCCTCAACCAGGTGGACTGACAAAGTGACTGCTGCAACGGACTCTTGGGTGTCAGGAAGTGTGAGGATGGGGCAGAATAGAACAACGTTCAGATCTTTTGTTCATGGGGCGCTGTGAATCATAATTGACTCAATGGCACCTACCAACAACAACAAGAACTAAAGTAACCCAATCATAAAATTAACACAGATCTCGGTTTCACCAGAGAAGGTACGCTGAGAGCCCACCAGCCCTTTAATCTCCATAATCATTAAAAAACCAAAACCAAGGGAGCTCTGGTAGCCTAGTGGCAAGACGCTGCACTGCACTCCCAGAGGAACATGGTTCAAATCCACCAGATGCTCTGCTGGAGAAGGAGGGGCAATCTCCTCCTGTACCAGTCAGATCAGATTTGACGGTGTACACACACAAAAAATAATAATAAAATTTAAAAAACAAAACACCAAAACCAAAACACTTGCATTGAGTTGATCCCTACGCACACATGTCACCTCACAGGTGTTCGAGTAAAATTGTGCTCCACTGGGTTCACAGCGGCTAAATTTTCAGACTTAGCCCGCCAGGCCTTCCACAGCACCTCTGGTGGCTCCAATTGCCAAACGTCCAGTTAGCAGCCAAGCTTGTTGATCATTTGCACCACTCAGAGACTTTAGCTGTTTAAATCCTAAATTCCCGGCATCAGCAGCACTGGGCTTGGTGGGCTGGATTTTTATCCCAAGTGGGACATCGGAGAGGAACCTGGAGCAAGCAGTGATTTGTGACCAGCTTGTCCCCTCCTCTCAGATCAATGACTTGCGCTCCCAAAAGACCCCCATCGAAAGCTTGTTCATCGAGGCGACTGAGAAGTTCCGCAGCAACCTCAAGACCATGTACTCTGGCCCGAACGGGAAGATCCACGTGGGCTACAAGGACCTGATGGAGAACTACCAGATTGTCGTGAGCAACCTGGCGGCAGAGCGTGGCGAGAAGGACACCAACCTGGTGCTCAACCTCTTCCAGTCCCTGCTGGACGAGTTCACCCGCGGTCACACCAGGAGCGACTTCGAGGCCCCCAAGGTGGGCCTGGGCAGACCTGTCACCTCGCTCCAGCACTCTCTGGACTTGGGGCTGGAGTATTGGTTCCCCCACTCTAGAAGGAGTTGAGGTCTCTGGATGTTATCAGCGGACCGAGGGGCATGGTGGGACACTGGTGTCACTCCAGCCCCGTAGACAGGCATCTCTGCTCCCTTCTCCCTACAGCAGAGCAAGTCTCGGAAGAAGTGGAAGCAGGATCGCGCTGTGAGTGTGTGTCCGCCCCAAGCAGTCTGAGCTCTGACTCCCCGGTGCCTGGTCCTGGGACCGCAGTCTTGGGTGGGGTGCAGAGAGGAGAGAGGGCCCCACTCAGCCCTTGTCACCTGCCCCCCTCCAGGTACAGCAGCACAATGGGCACGTGTTTGCCAGCTACCAGGTCAGCATCCCCCAGTCGTGCGAACACTGCCTCTCCTACATCTGGCTCATGGACAAGGCCCTGCTATGCAGCGGTGAGCGCCCCAATGCCAGCCCCAACCCCACCTCAGGGCCCCCAACCTCCCAACAGACAGACCACCCACCACACATTCCCCACCTTCACCACCAGCCTTTCGGCCTCCCCGCTCCATGCTTCTTGACCCCCACCATATACATCCTGTATGCCCCCCAACCTTTCCACCACACACATCTCGGACTCCTAACCCCAGCACACCCCCAGAGCTCTCCACTCCGCATCTCCAGTACCCCCTCCTCGGTGTGAACCTTAACCCCCACTGAAGCTCTAGTCCCTCACCATGCACCTCTGACTTTTTCTAGTCACCCATGTGTGCCCCCTATCCTGCCAACGTGCCCCAACCCTACCATATGCTCCTGACCAGCCAGTGTTCCCTGACCCCTCCTGCATGTCCCATGATCCCCAGTATGTGTCCCCTATTCCCACCCCATGCCCCCACCCCTCCCACCCACCTTCCCACTCCACCTGTGACCCTCTCTGTCTTCCTAGTGTGCAAGATGACCTGCCACAAGAAATGCGTGCACAAGATCCAGACCTACTGCTCCTATACGTGCAGGCAGAAGGTGAGGGGAGCAGGGGGCATTGAACCTTCCAGAACTGCACGCATTCCATCCAAGTACCTAGGGATGCCACCTAGAAGTGTGAAGGGGAGTGTGCTTAGCAGGGGCAAGTGAAGATGTGTGGAGAGCAGGCTGGGCTGCTCCCATACTTGTGATCCCATATCTAGCAGAACCCTATCTTTGCCCATCACCACATCTAGACCAAGCCTATCCAGGTGTGTGTCAGGGCCAGCTTTCTCCAGGGGACCCAGGGGAGGGAGAAATACCCTACCCATCAGTGGCCTGGGTGACGACTATGGGGACTTGGAGCTCCCTGCCCAGGGGTCCTGCAGGAAGGGCAGAGGGAGGGGTCTAGAGGGCAATAGATGATCCCCCCTGCAGGTGGAGCCAGGTGCAGAGCCCGGCCACTTTGGCGTGTGCGTGGACAGCTTGACCAGTGACAAGGTCTCAGTGCCTGTTGTGCTGGAGAAGCTTCTGGAACACGTGGAGATGCATGGCCTGTACACCGAGGGCCTCTACCGAAAGTCAGGAGCAGCCGGCCGCACGCGGGAGCTCCGGCAGACACTGCAAACAGGTGGGCTGTGTGGAAGGGCGAGCACTGCAGTGATGGGCAGGGTTTGGGCATAGTGGGCACTGCTATGGTGGGCAGTGCGGTCACTGCACATGGTAAAGGCTTGGGGATAGTGGGCACTCCAAACAGACAGGCACTGCTGTGGTGGGCAGGGTGGGCACCACAGGTGGGCAGAGTTTGGTTATAGGTGAGCCTCACAGGTGAGCTGTGGAAGGATGGACACCGCAGATAGGCAGAGCTTGGGAATAGTGGGCACTGCAGACAGGCATGCTCCTTGGCCAGCAGGTGGGTGTGGACAGGTGAGTCTTCTGCTCACCTGACCCCACCCCCACAGACCCCACCACCGTGAAGCTGGAGAACTACCCCATCCATGCCATCACTGGTGTCTTGAAGCAGTGGCTGCGGGAGCTGCCTGAGCCCCTCATGACCTTTGCCCAGTACAATGACTTCCTCCGTGCGGTGGAGCTGCCTGAGAAGCAGGAGCAGCTGGCTGCCATCTACGCTGTCCTGGACCACCTGCCAGAAGCCAATCACAACTCCCTAGAGCGGCTCATCTTCCACCTTGTGAAGCAAGTGTCCCCCATCCCTACCCTGGGCGGTCAGGGGCCCTCCCGCCTCCCTGCAAGTCCAGACAGGGCTGACGTGGGGTGGGGACCACCCCCCAGGGTTCAGGTCCCAGCTCGGCTCCCTGAGCCAGGGGTGCTGCCTTCATACTGGCTGTCTCCGCAGGGTGGCCCTGCTCGAGGACGTGAACCGCATGTCGCCTGGCGCCTTGGCCATCATCTTTGCCCCCTGCCTGCTGCGTTGCCCTGACACCTCGGACCCGCTGACCAGCATGAAGGATGTGCAGAAGACCACCATGTGAGTGCTGGCTCCGGACACAGCGGACAGGGACCATGTTCTCTCCCTTCGCAGCCTGACCGCAGCTTAGAGAATGTCCAGAGGGTGGCAGGTGGATCAGGCCCGCAGGGCTGTAGCTGTGCGCGTCCTCGGGGCAGCCGGCACTGGCCCCATCTGAAGCCCCCTCCCCATCCGGCCTTGTGCGCAGGTGCGTCGAGATGCTGATCAAGGAGCAGATGCGAAAGTACAAAGTGAAGATGGAGGAGATCAACCAGCTGGAGGCGGCCGAGAGCATCGCCTTCCGCCGGCTCTCACTGCTGCGGCAGAACACTGTGAGCGAGGGTGGTGAGGGGGCCAGAGGACTGGGGGGGTGCCCAGAGGACTGGGGGGGTGCCCAGAGGACTGGGAGGGGCCAGAGGACTGGGGTGTGGCCGGGGGGGGAAGGATGGGGGGGGCCAGAGGACAAAGGGGAGCTGGTGCTGGACAAGGGACAAGGAGGCCAAGAGTGGACGGCACCTGTGCGTGGGGCGAGGGGGCAGAGTGCTGGGTTGTGCCACGCAGCCCGGGCACTGATATGGGCGCACCAGTGGAAGCAGAAGAGCCTGGGCTGCGCTGTGGGGATGGGATCCACTCCCAGCTACCTGGTTGGCCACCTCCACTCTGCCTATTACCTGGCTCCCTGGGGTGAGCGTAGGTGTGCCGCGCCCCCTACTGGTGGCTGAGCTCATCATCACCCCTGTCTTGCTGGCCACACCCCACATACAGGGGAGTTTTCCCAGCCAGCGGGCGAAGTTGGGGTGACAAGGCCCAGTCTGTCCAGTGGGCCAGCTTGAGCCCCCACCTCACTGCCCATGGTCATCTTGCCTTCATCTTTTCCCCAGCTCTGGCCTTTCAAACTGGGGTTCTCGTCTCCCTACGAGGGGGTCCTGAACAAGAGCCCCAGAGGCCGGACGTGCATGGCCTCCTCGGCCCTGGGATCTTCGTAGGCTAGACTGCACCCCACCCTTCTGGATGTGCATGCTGGGGCCAGCCTCTCGGAGAATGGGTGCTCGATCCCTCACATCACAACTAACCAGTTGCTTCCAACACCCTTGCCCTTAGCCTCCTTGGATACTAACCTCACTGGCCCTGACACTGGCCAATCTGCAAACGGTTAAGCACTCACTGCTTATGGAAAGGTTGTAGTACAGTCGGAGAAAATAGTGACTCTTCACAGTGTCTCAGCTTTGAAACCTGTGGAGCAGTTCACTCTGCACACACACGTTCCTGTGAGTCGGAACCGACTTGACAGCAGCTAACAACAGTATCTCTTCCAGAACAAGAGCCCCAAAGCCCGGACGAGCAGCAGCGGCCTGGAGGAGCTGGGGGTGTTACCTGAGGAGGAGGCAGTAGTGGCAGCCGGGGACAACGAGGACCGAGAGAAGGAGATCCTCATGGAGCGCATCCAGTCCATCAAGGAGGAGAAGCAAGTGTCCTGTGGTCACCAGGGTGGCTAGAAACCAGCCCTGTCCCAGGAAACGGGGGTCCCCACAGTCCCAACTGCCCTGACTGCCTAGACCCTGTCTGTGCCTGCCCACAGAACCCTAGGATAGCCTGCAGGCTGGCAGAGGCAGTGCCCAGGACCCCAGGGTAGCCTAAAGGCTGGCAGAGGCAGTGTCCAGGACCCCAGGGTAGCCTGTAGCCTGGCAGAGGCAGTGCCCAGGACCCCAGGGTAGCCTGCAGCTTCGCAGAGGCAGTGCCCAGCTCTTTTTAAGGCAGGCTCAGCTAAGGGAGCAGACTGTCAAATAAAAGGGCTCTTAAAAGTGACACTGGGGAGTCCCTGGGTGAGGCAGACAGTTACCTGCTCAGATGCTAAAGAGAGATGGGAGTTTGAATCTGCCCTGTGGCACCGTGGCAGAAAGGCCTGGCAGTGTACTCCCATAAAGCTGACAGCTAAGACTCCTCTAGGGGAGGATGACCCAAAGCTGTGTTTCAACAAGAAAGTCCTTGAGTTAAGAATACCTTAGGTTTCTGTTCCAGAGAGACAAACATCTTAGTGACAAGTTATCCAAAGTGAATTCTGAAAGAACAGAAGAGGAAGAAGCCTCAATAAAAATCATAGTGGACCCAGGCCAGGGTCAGGGGTAGACCAGGACTCAGACCTGCTGTGATCAGAGCCCAGGTATGGGATGGGTGGACAGTTAAATGTTTGGCTACTGCTAACCAAAAAGTTAGGAGTTCACGCTCACCCACTAGGCAGCACTGATGAAAGGCCTGGTGATCTGCATTCAAAAGTTCATGTTGTTGTTGTTGTTATGTGCTGTCGAGTCACTTGCGACTCATAGCGACCCTATGTACAACAGCCCTAAACTCCACTCTGTCCTGTGCCAATCGCACTGTCTCCAACACTCCCATCCCAATTATCCCAGTCATGCTCCTCGAAAACCCTTGAGAGACAGTCTGGTTGCTTCCAACCAGTCACCTTGACAGAAACTAGTTTGGTTTCTCATTTTCCCCTCAGCTCAGCATAAGCATATAGCATCCACTTCTCTATGACTTGATTTTAAAGTAACACACAAGTGATGCCAGCCCATCAGGCAGGAACCGGACTGGAGAAGGGGAAAGGGGACTATATGCAAAGACCCAGGGTGTGTGCTCAGGACTGAGTGGGGCAAGGCCACACAGGACCCACAGGGCAGCTTTAAACTCCAGCCCTTTCCCACGCTGCCCCCAGGGAGGACATCACCTACCGGCTGCCAGAGCTGGACCCACGAGGCTCCGACGAGGAGAACCTGGACTCGGAGACATCGGCCAGCACCGAAAGCCTGCTGGAGGAGCGGGCCGGGCGGGGGGCCGCGGAAGGTCAGTATTAAGGTAGCGTGTGATTTTTTTCCTTCCTGTCCACCTGGGCGAGGTGGGGCCACAGCGTGGAGCTGCGCTGACACCACCATCTGTCTCCCAAGGGCCCCCTGCGCCAACTCTCCCCTGCCCCGGCACACCCACCCTGTGCCCCCTCCCCACGGTGGCCGCGGTGGTAGCCCCGGCAGCAGCCCCTCCGACGCAGGCCCTCGTCCTTCGCGACAGTCCGAGTGAAGACCCCCCGGCGCACACCTGTCATGCCTATGGGCAAAATCAAGCTCCCGCCCGGCCTGCCTACTCACCTGCCCAGCTGGGCACCTAAGGCCCCTGATTCTGGGGTCCCCGTAAGGCGCCGTGAGCCGCCCGCCCGGCGCCCAGACCTGGTACACTCGGTGTACGTGACTCCAGGCGCAGAGCTGCCCGCACAGGCTGTCCTCGAGGCCCTGGACGAGGAAGAACGGGCCCCTGGCACCAAACGGAGATACTCGGACCCCCCGACATACTGCCTGCCCCCTGCCCCAGGCCAGGCCAACGGCTGAGGGCTGTAGCTGGTCAAGCTGAGATAGTCCAGTGTGGAGAGTGCAGATGCAGAGGGCCTGCAGGACTTGCTGAAGCCAAGCTTTGGGCACCTCACTTCAGCTCCACCGTCAGCTTTCCAGAAGGATTCAGAACTCTGCCAGCACCCAAGGGAAGGAGCACGCCAGCCGTGCATGGAACCAAGCAGGGAGCAGCCAGTATGGCCACCTGGCCTGCCTCCCGGGGGCTGCCCAGCCCAGCCCGTGAGAGGCCAGCGTGGTCACCTCTCTTTTGTACGAATTGACTTGATGATAACTCTGTACGTGGTTTACATAACTTGAGACTGTAACAGCCTTAATGGGAGACCAAATCAGTTTGTTGTTTGTTTGGGTTTGTTTTTTTATATATAAATATATGTATATGTAAAAATGTGTACGTTAACCCCATGCATCTCCTTTAAACTCGACGCAAGTCGTCAAGTGAAGTAGAAGATGCAGACAGACATAAACCACATTCCAGAAACAGGGCCCAAGCTGAGTCTGGATTGGGGGTCTTCGGGCCTGCCCACCTGCATGGACACTTAGGGCACCTACCTGTGTTGAGGCCTATTTGGATGTGCCCATCCCCTGGGGCGCAGTGCGCCATCCATGGCATCGGGAATCTCAGCAGGATGCAGGGCACCAGGCAAGGGTGACTGACCTCTGCCTGCATCACCACCAGACCTCACCTCCCCCGGAGTCAGGTCCCGGCGGGACAAACGTGGCCAGGACCCCTTACCGCCATGCTCTGTCCACAGTACCCTCCAGCTCTCGACCCCTGCAGTACACCAGGCACAGCCTGCCACCCAGGGCTTCTCCAGGTGAGGCCTGAGGTTTTACGGCCCTGGCAGTCAATAGTGGCAACTTGAGGGATGGGAAGAGTGGAGCTCCTTCCCCCAGGCTCATCCCCCTCTCACAGATACCTGGACAAGTGAAATAAAAAGTGACTGAGACATGTTTGTGTGTGACTCCTATCTTTGGATAGGGCTGTGGGAGGTGAAGTCAAAGAGGGACAGCGAGTGGGAAGACCACCTTAGTCCTGTCACAGATACTGATATTTGAATGACCTGCATACTGCTCCCACTAACACACTCAGTATCCCCAGGGGGTGGGTTTTGATCTGATGGGGAGCAAAAGAACACCCACAGAGCCTGACACACCCGCCCGGGGCTTTCACCTTTTATTTGCAGGGTCCATCGCTAAAACCGAAGCTTTAAGTCTTAGAGGCCTCGTGAGGAGTAGACCAGGCAGACAGGTGTCCACGTCACACTGGGTCCAGAGGGAGAAGAAAGTTCATCCAGCCAACTCTGCTGTGTGCCCAAGTGGGCTCAGTTCTCATCTAGTTCGTTCCAGGTTGGGGAGACGAAACCCCAGAGGTCCAGGCCTCAGACAAAGGAAGGGTGATGGTGAGGGTGAGGGCTCAGCAGAAGCTATCTGCCTGGCTGTGGAGCCTGGCTCTGAAGCCCTTTCCATTACAAGCCCAAGGTTTGGGGGCCACCAGTCCCATCAGTATTGTAAAGCCCTCTCCTCCCCCTGCTCACTCCACTAGGCGGTTCTACAGAGCAGAGTCAGAACTACGTACTGATGGCCCCTCAGAAGAGTAACATCTCAAAGAATCCTCAAATCCCAAAGTTCCAGGCCAGGGACCCTTCAGGATAGCAAAGGAAGGCAGGCTGCCTGCAGACATTCAACAAGGGGGAGGAGGATAAACCTAAGGCAGGAGTACGGGCTGGGGAAGCACTTTGTGGAAGGAGAAACAAAGGTGCATGTAAGGATAACACCTTCAACTTTTTTCTTTGATGACCTTTATTTTGTTATTAATTTTAATGAGTATTTACAGAGACTTTGGATTTCCATTCATTCATTGTTGCACTTTTCTCCCAGCCAACACCTGCCCCCTCTTCGCTCTTTTTGAAAAGTAAAGGAAAAATTCTTTCATTGTTAAACAATCCCCCCCAGTCCACGCCCCTCTGCAGCCTTCCTTCTAGACTCCTGTCATGATAATAATACCTAATCATATATCGCTTTTAATCAGTTTTCTCCCTCATCTGTTTCAATGCAGTATACATAATTTATCCCATCTTTTTCAGTCTCACCCCAGCCCCGACGTCAGACCCATTTTACAACAGTGGCACTATGCAATATTTGTCCTTTTGTGACTGAGACATTTCACTCAGCATAATGTCCTCCAAGGTCATCCATTTTGTATAATATTTTGTAAGTTCTTTGTTTTTCAGTGCAGTGTAGTATTCCATTGTGTCACAGCTTCTCCATTCATTTGTTGATGGGCACTTAGGTTGTTTCCAACTCCTTGCTATTGTGAACAAAGCTGTGATAAACATGGGTGTGCATATGTCTGCTTGCGTAGCTGTTATGGTTTCTTTCGGGTATATTCCCAGTAGTGGAATTACTGGGTCAAATGTTGTTTCTATTTCCAACATTTTGAGAAAGTGCTATGCAGCCTTCCACAGTGGTTGCACCACTTTACACTCCCACCAACAGTGAATAAGGGTTCCAGTTTCTCCGCAACCTCGCCAGCATTTGATGTGTGCTGTTCTGTTAAATTTTGCTATTCTTACTGGGGTAAGATGATATCTCATAGTTGTTCTACCTTCAGCTTTTTCTGAAGAACTCAACCACCAGCAGTGATGCCAAACAAGCGATTCTGCCCTGAACAAAAATGAATAGGATGGCACCGCCCCTTAAAACAGGACTGTACTTCCGCCCTTAAGGAAGACTGGTAAACCCACTGAAGCCACTTCCGCCCTCCCTTAAGATGGCGCCAGCGGAAAAGGAGGGGCGTCCTCCGGCGGTGATGGCGGCGTCGAGGCTAGAACTTAATTTAGTGCGGCTGCTGTGCCGCTGCGAAGCGATGGCAGCAGAGAAGCGGGACCCAGACGAGTGGCGCCTGGAAAAGGTAAGGGAGACTCGCGCTGCCGCCATAGAAACCGCAACTCCCGGACGCCGGTGTGTGAACTGGGGACCCGCCGGCTCTGGGTCCCCTTCCCCACCCTGCTAGCTTCCCTGGCACCGCCCCTCCCGTCCACGTGTAACCCCGCCCCTGCCTCTGAGGTTCCGCCCCTCTCGTTAGCCACGCCCCTAGCGTGGTTCTGACTCCTACAAGCAGAACCTGATTCAGAAGAGTACCTGACACCTCACTTTATTTCCCCAGTACGTGGGGGCCCTGGAGGACATGCTGCAAGCCTTGAAGGCCCAGGTGAGGTGAGTGCCAGGGGTTTCAAAACCAGGGTTTGAGGGGTCCAAGAGAGCAAGCTGATGCCCTCTGCTGGGACTGGAGACCGTGCAAGGGTTTTCTTTTCCTCTTGTCCACCTCGTAGTAAACCAGCATCCGAGGTGATCAATGAATACTCTCGCAAGGTGGACTTTCTGAAGGGGATGCTACAGGCAGAGAAGCTGGTGAGCTGAGGGCTGCTGAGGGCATCTTAACACTCTCGTAGGACTCTGGGACCCACCCCTCCTCCCCTGACCCCTTTTCCTGTGTCTCGGCAGACTTCGTCCTCAGAGAAAGCTCTAGCCAACCAGTTCCTTGCCCCAGGCCGTGTGCCAACCACAGCCCGGGAGCGGGTGCCCGCCACAAAGACAGTGCATCTACAGTCCAGGGCGAGGTACACCAGCGAGATGCGTAGTGAACTGCTGGGAGCGGTAAGGCTTCTCCCAGGTCCCTGGGAGCCCTTGGAGTGGGGGCTCCAGAATGACAAATGCTGACAGATGTGGAAACCTTAGAGGGCCTGGCATTGTCTTTCCTGGAGCTAGTACATAGGTTTTAGTGGGCAGGGCTTTACTGAACCCACTCCAGTTAAGCCCCATATTTGTTAGAGCAGAGTTCACCTGCTGCCTTGCCACTACCACAAGATGGGCAAGCTCATTTGTCTTGTAAAATGCAGCTTGTGTCTTTCTGAGTGTTTTACCTCCATCATCTGAATCCTACAGAATAGGAGCTATAGTTGCTGCCAGCTTACAGATAAGGAAATGAGGGCTCAGGGGTCCCAGGGTTTGTCCACGGTCTTGACTAAGGTTGAGGCAATTCTGAGAGCAGAAAGTGGAAGAAAGAGAGAGAATGGCTGGCTTCTATGTGTCTCCCTTTTCTCTGCAGGACTCTGCCGATGGTGAGTTGCCCTGAGAAGAACAGGATTCAAGGCCCAGCTTCGTGGGACAAGACCCAACTGCCCCACATCACAGGGGTCCAACCTGGTTCCCACAGGGGCTGTCCCAGCCCAGGGAGAGTGTCCCTGGGAGGCTTTATTCAGTCAGTTCTTGAAGAAGGGTCTGAGACAGAGGCTTGGGCCCTGGAAGAGACAGTACTGATAGAGAGAGGGGCCCAGAGAGCCTAGGCAGTAGTGGGAAATGCTTCCAAGAAGAGGGGGCATTCCAGCTGGGGCTTTGAAGCATTGTTAGGAGTCATCTAGGCAGCAGACAATATGGGAAATGGCATGCCAAGTAAGGAACACAGCACAGGCAAAGAAAGACCGGGAGCTTGAAGGCTGAAAATGGTCCTCTCCTTTCTTCTGCATGCCCTGTTCCACTTGCAGAGCCTGACGTAAGGAAGCGAACGTGAGTAACCCTGGGTCTCCGGAAGTGTCGGGAGGGCAGTGGGGGCTGGACAAACTAGGAGCCACTGAGGCATCTCAGGGATCTAAACCACCCATCAGATGCCACTTTCCAGCGATGCTTTATCCCAGAAATTGAGGCTAAGAAGAAGAAATAAAAGCCTCAAGTGTGGAACAGTGTGGCTTCTGGACTCCCTGCAACATGGCAGTCTCTTCCCTCCTCCTGCCCCACCTGTCATGCCCAGTCATTCACCCATGTGTGTGTCAGCAGGGTGACAGGGCCCAGGCCAATGGACGAGAAGCAGTCAGCAGCCGAGCTGGACCTTGTTCTGCAGCGACACCAGAATCTCCAGGAGAAGCTGGCAGAGGAGATGCTAGGTCTAGCCCGGAGCCTCAAAACCAACACTCTGGCCGCTCAGAGTGTGATCAAGAAAGACAACCAAGTGCGTGGCCTGGGGTCTCACAAAAGGCTTCCCAAATGGAGGGGCATTGTAGCTGGGGTTTTGGTGAATGAATAGGAGTTAGACAGAAGAGAAAAGTGGCATTCCTTATTAGGGGACAGAGCACCAACAAGCCTCAAGAAGTCCATGTTTGGCTCAAGACAGTAGAGAAAAGCTAGATGTGCTTTCCCAGTGCGACTGACCTCTCAACCCTGCCCACAGACCCTGTCGCACTCGCTCAAAATGGCCGACCAGAACCTGGAGAAGCTGAAGACGGAGTCAGAGCGGCTGGAGCAGCACGCGCAGAAGTCAGTCAACTGGCTGCTCTGGGCCATGCTCATCGTCGTCTGCTTCATCTTCATCAGCATGATCCTCTTCATTCGGATCATGCCCAAACTCAAATAAAAGTCTGCCTCTGTCTGCCCTCTGCCCCTGACCTGAGTCTCTTAGGGCAGAGATGGGACCTTCTTGAGGTCCCTGGAAGCCATGGAGAGTGTGTGAGTGGGGGAGAAGGGTTAGCTCCCTCAGCTACCCTTCTCAGGGCTTGTCCTGAGCCAAACAAGACTAGGGCCTGTGAGACCCCAGGGAGCCCCCGGCCTTGGAGACTCACAGCTGAGCATACTTTCAGCATCATGAGCCAAGTGGGTGGGACAAGGTCCAGGGGACCTGGAGGACCAGGCCGGTGCCCAGACGAGGGTGCATCAGAGCGGCGTCCTCCTTGGGAGTAAAGGTAGTAAGTCAGGGGGAAACACAGTCCAGCATTATCCGCAACCTTAGGACACAGGGTCCTTCACACAGTCAGCAAACATGCATGAGTCACGCTCAGTGAGTGCTAAATACAAGCAGAGAAACCCTTCCCCAGGTCACAATCTGAGCATTCCAGCAGAGGCTTACTTGGGGACTGGGGTCTAGAACAAGGAACATAGGAGCCGTGGGGGAGTGGGGGCATGTTCTCCACACCGCCCTCTTCAGATGTGGGGTGAGGCACAGTGAGTGAGGGGTGTGAGAGAGGAAGGACAGGCATGCACTAGGTTCATGGAGATAGCTGACCCTTACCTGTGCAAGTGTGCACAGGACCTGTGGATACAGGTACTATTGACGGAAGTGTCCCCAACACAGATGCAGAACCCCCAAGCAGAGCTTTCTCACAGCTCCTGTGGCAGCTCTAAAAAATCGATCATAGGAAGAAGGCTTGTGCCTACAATACAAGAATATTTCAACATCAGGAAGCCTGTTAATAGAATTTATCATTAATGCGTTAGAGGGGGGGAAACCACAAGCACTGAAATGGCACTTTATACTGTGCAGCATCCACTACTAACATCTTCCAAAAAGAAACATTAACTGCCCTCAAGACAGCCCCTACTAAGGGTCAGCTGGTGCATAAGTGCAGTGAAGCACTGCCCAGTCCTTCACTATGATCATCTGCAGCTTGGACTGCTGGGATCCATACGGTTTTCATGGGGGCTGATTCTTTAGAAGTTGGTTACCAGGCCTTTCTTCTTGGTTCCCTAGTCTGGACATTCCCCTAAGCTTTTTGCTCCACATCCTAGCAAAATACAAGGCTTCATGGACAGGTAGGTGTTAGCTGTGCACAAGGGGCGACACTCAGGAATCAAAGTTGCGTTGTCTTTGCTGAAAATTAAAATTCTGCCTCTGATTTCACTTAAAAAGGAAGAATACATGAACTAACTGAAAAAATCTCAAGCTGAAGGCAGCATTGTTGTTATTAGGTGCCATCGAGGGAAGTACGACTCAGCAACCCTATAAACAGACTGAACCTGACCTGTCCCATGCCATCCACAATCTGTGACACAATCAAGCCCATTGCTGCAATCACTAGGTCAGCCCACCTGCTGGAGGGACTGCCTCTCCTCTACCGTCCCTCCACCTTCCCAAGCAGGACGTTCCTCCCCAAGGAATAACCTCTCCTAGCCACATGCCCAAAGTATGTGAGAACAAAGCTTTAGCATTAACTTACAGGCAAATATGGACAATTTTTTACCTATGATTCGCCCAACCTTGTGATGCAGGATTCCTCTGGAAGTACTATTGTTATGTACCATTGAGTCAGAACTGACTCATAGCTGACTCTCCAGAGGGTTTTCAGCAGCTTTAAATTGCAAAGAAAAAGATGTCCATTTTTCTCCCAAGGAGCCCTTGGTGGATTTAAAACACCTGCCTTTGTGCTGACAGCACAACGCCTTACCAACTAAGTCACCAGAGATCCAGTTTATAATAACAGGAACACAAGAATTTATCATTTCTTAAAAATTTAAAATGTTGTTGTTGTTATGTGCCGTCGAGTCGCTTGCGACTCATAGCGACCCTATGTACAACAGCCCTAAACTCCGCTCTGTCCTGTGCCAATCGCACTGTCTCTGACACTCCCATCCCAATTATCCCAGTCACTGAATCAATCCACCTCATAGAGGGCCTTCCCCTCCTGCGCTGTCCCTCCACCCTCCCAAGCATGATGTCCCTCTCTAAGGACCGGTCTCTCCTCACAACATGTCCAAAGTATGTTAGACGGAGCCTCAGAATCCTTGCCTCCAAGGAGCCACCTGGTTTAACCCTTTCCAGGACAAATCTGTTTGTTTTCCTAGCAGTCCATGGTATTCTCAATACTCTTCTCCAGCACCACAGCTCAAAGGCATCAATTCTCCTTCTATCCTCCTTGGTCATTGTCCAACTCTGTGATGCATAACAAGTGATTGCGAAGACCATGGCCTGTATCAGACGCACCTTAGTCTCCAGAGAGACACCATTGCTCTTCAGTACTTTGGAGAGGTCCCTAACAGCTGACTTTCCCATGGCAATGCGCCTTTTAATTTCCTGGCTGCTGGTGCCAAGACTGTTGACTATGGAGCCAAGCGAACTAAAGCTGTATACAATCTCAATCTCTTCACCATCCATCCTGATGCTGCCAATTGGTCCCCACAACATATCCAGTTAATATTTTTGCTATATAAAGAATTCCTAAAAAGTAAAGGGTGGAGGAAAGACCGACAAGCCACAAACAGGGAAGGAAATACAAATTGTTTTCACTTTTTAAAAAAGCTTTAGGCTGATACCGTCGGCAGGCGTTTCAACAAGAGGTACGGGAGTGGTGACACTTCTGTGACTGCATCACACATCAGGTCAGCAACTACCTCCACGTGTCAAAGGAGGAATGGCAGCTGTGGGAAGCATGTCTGGCCTTCTGCGGCAGAGTCTCACGCAGAGAGCTGCCACCTCATCCTGTCACCTGCACACATCCCTTGGACAGGCTGACTGCAACAGGACATCACTCACACGGCTCCACAGGCAGGCCTATGCACGCCTCTATCCAGTGCTCTTAGTGAAGACGGTGCCACCATCCACATCCGCTACAGGGAGCCACGACGCATGCTGGTGATGCCTATAGACCTCAACACCCTGTCTCCTGAAGAGAAAAAGGCTCGCTGCCGGAAACGTGAGGCCAAATCCAAAGAGAAGAAAGAGGAGCCAGAAGTCAAAGATGACTCTGATGTGGAGTGGTACAAACGATTTTGGTCCAAAAAGTGACTGCTCCTTGATTTAACCCAGGAAGGAAATTGTGTCAAGATAGAAGTGAGATGGGGAGCTCTGGTGGCCTAGTGGCAAGAAGCTGCACTGCAATCCCAGAGGCGCATGGTTCAAATCCACCAGATTCTCTGCCGGGGAAGGAGGGACGATCTCCTCCTGTACCAGTCAGATCTGATTTGACGTACACACCACACACACACACACACACACACACACACACATAATAAAAAAATAAAATACATTTTAAAAAAAAAGTGAGATGTCTTCTTCCTACGGTACATGTTTTTAAAGTACATGTTAGAAACCTTAAAAAAAAAAACTTTAAACTTGGTTAATCATCAGGAATTTAAACCCTGATACACATGAAAGGAATCTTGAAAACAATGGTATCAAGATTGTGGGAAGTTCAGCTGTTCTTACTGCTGGTGGAGGAATACAACCTCCTTGAGGAATAATTCAGCAGTGTTTCAAATTTAAAATGCACAGACTCTTTCGCCTCCTAATTGCATTTTTAGGAATTTATCCAACAGATAATCCACCTCCTATGTGTCAAGAAATTTGCACACAGCTATTTTCTGCAGCATCGTTTATAGGGGAAAATGAGATCTCTCCAGCCTTTGAGTTTGGGTCTCTCTGGAAGGAGACAGACAGTTCACTGCTGTCAGTGTGGGCTCTCGAATGATCTGTTCCGCATACAGATTGAAAAGCTATGGAGACAGGACACAACCCTGACACACTGCTTTCCTGATTTTGAACCATGCACTGTTTCCTTGCTCTATTCTAACGATTGCTTCCTGGTCCAAGTATAGACTTCACATGAACATGCTAAGGTATTCTGGGATTCCCATTCTAATCAAGTCTAGGCACAATTTGTTGTAATACACACAGTCAGCTGCCTTTGCATAGTCAATGAAACGGGCATTTCTCGACAATCCTCTCTGCTTTTGGTCCAAGATCCATCTTAAACTGGCAATGATGTCCCTAATGCCACAGTCTCCTCTAAATCCAGCTTGTATTTCTGGTACTTCTCTGGTGATATACTGTTCCAGTTGTTTTTGGATAATCTTCAGCAGGATTTTGCTTGTGTGTGATATTAATGATATTAAATAATTTCCACATTCTGTTAAAACACTTTTTTTGGGTTGGGAATGAATATGGCTTTCTTCCAGTCAGTTGGCCAGGTGGTTGTCCTCCAGATTTCTTGATACATCTGTTTGTTGAATTCCTGGGGCTTTCCCCCACCCAAGTTCCTTTAGAGCAGCTTGAACTTCCCCCTTCATCACCATTGTCTCTTGAACATAAATTATTTCATTAAATTCTTTGACAGCCAGTTCTTTTTTGGTACAATGACTCTGTGTACTCCTTCCATGTTCGTTTGATGCTTTCTGGATCATTCAGTATCCTGTCCATCCTGAAGTACTGCAACTCAAAGCTTGAATATGTTCTTCAGTTCCTTCAGCTTAACAAATGCTGAGTGAAGGGAGCTCTGGTGGCCTACTGGCAAGAAGCTGCACTGCAATCCCAGAGGTGAGAGGTTCAAATCCACCAGATGCCCTGCTGGAGAAGGAGGAGCAATCTCCTCCTGTACCAGTCAAAAAAATAAAGAAAGAAATGTTAAGCGAGTTCGACCCTTTGGTTTTCTGACTCTAACACTTTCCACATTTCATAATACTTTGCTTTGTCTTCCCAAGCTGCCCTTTGAAATCTTCTGTTCAGCTCCTTAACTTGGAAGAAGACTTACCAACAACCTGCATTATGCAGATGATACAACTTTACTTGCTAAAACTGAGGAGGACCTAAAGCATTTGCTGCAGAGGGTCAAAGACTGTAGTCTGCAATATAAAATGAAACTCGCTATC